TTCACAATTGAACCCAATTGACACAAAGTCTGCACTTGTATGCAAAGTATGACCAATGTAACGGAGGGCCTTGAAATCTGCAAAGAAAAAGCCTAATCTTGTGGTTTGTGAAAGCTAGTGAAATGTGATCCTCTGTTTTTGGAAAAGTAGTAACAGAATCTTTGACCACGTAGGTGAGTGGAGTTGTTGCTCTGTCTAGGTGTCACACTGGTAGTGTCTATACCAACAGAGCCAGAGTGAGTGTACAATTGTTTGACCATTGATGGCTGTTCCACGAATCAGGCCAAAAAGGCCTTTAGCCCATTCCTATTAAAAGCAAATCCAGAAATTCTGTGGAACAAAGAGCCTAAAGAGCACTCCACAATGTATTTCTTCTATTCTGTCATTCACCATTTACTTTAAACTCCCTGAAGGATGCAATAGCATTGCCAAGGCTTAAACAAGGATACACATTCCTGTTTGGCAGCTGAACGACTAAGGATAGATTTGGTAGTGTTCTGCATTTTGTTTTCACAAGATTTTGTTGTAACATCGAAAAAAAGAGAGCCTTCGTTGGAAAATAAAATGGGATGGAAAAAATACTTCGAAACTGCAGTTTACAAAACTGAATGCTCATGTCAGTTTCTCTGTGTAAAGTGCAGAGAAAGGAATAAGTGTTAAAAGTAGACAAAGGCTTAAAAACAGCTCTGTACACTTGCATCTATTCTGGCTAAGTGGAGTCAATTTTCATTGCTGGCAGACGTCAGATAGCGAGGGGCTGCAGTGATCAGCTGGATGAGGATCATTTGCATTCAGTTGGTCAGCTGCACTGTGAAATTCTAATTGCAAGTAGTTTCAAGCTTGTTGGGGGCAGAGTTCTCCAGCAACAGATTAAAGGGGCAACTTGGGTCGATCCAAGTGGGGTGGGGGAAGGAAGGATTTAGCAACAAGGCACACTTAATGCCCATCTTGAATTTTAAAAGGTGCTTAAATAGTTATTAGTTATCACTCCCACAGCTTCCAGAGATTCCTTCAAATAGAACTGGCCATCTGTTATTATGTGCAGTAGGTACAGCACTCAGTGGGCTCTGCACTGCATTAAAATGGGCTTGCGCCTTTAACAATGTCATCAAATCCTCACCAATCTTAATTTAGGCCTTAAACTCTTGAAATCACTCCCTGCAAATCTGGAATCTTAGCCTACACTGCCCTCGCCCTTGCACACCTCTAACTTTCTCCATCCCCACAGCCATTATAAAATATGGTGTTCCTCCGGTTCTGCTCTCTTGTATATCTCTGAAATCTTGCCCTACCATTGGCAGTCATGCGTTCAGGCATTTGGACTTAACCTTTAGAATTCCTTCCTCCTGAAGTTGCTCTTTTTTATCCTGGCCAGTACTTGCCCCTCAGCCAGCATTACTAGAACTGATTATCGCATTGGAATTTTTGGGACCTTGTGTATAAATTGGCAGCTGTGTTTCCCACATTACAGCAATAGCTACACTTCAAAAGTACTTAATTGGCTATAAATTATTTTGTGATATTCAGCGGTCGTGCATAAAAATACAAGCTCTTTCGGTCATTTCTTGAAAACCTACCTTTTTGGCCAATCTTTTTGATAGCATTCCCAATACCTCCTTATGGAGGTTCAGGGTCAATTTTAGTTCAACCTAGTTCCAGTGAAGTGTTTTAAGATATTTTGAAGTGCTAAACGTGCAAGATAAATGACATTGTTATTGATTTATGTTGAATAACCGAGACTGTTGCCTGTTCTCAGTGGGAGCACCTGAAATCAGCCCACTGAAAATAAGTAGCGAGGAGGGGTTACTGCTAAGTTTAGAGTTAGTCCGTATGTTTTCACTGGGTAGCCAAGACACCAAAATTAGTTTCTGAAATCACTACTCCATGACACTAATACATGCTAAATCCCAAGGTGCTTTGTTAAATGTGTATTCAGGTAAAACAAGTCAACAAGAGTCCGGAAATCTCTTGCACTGTAAACAAACAACCCACGTTAATCCAACTAAAAAAAATGTTCACATTATAGAGCAGGCATCGATAGAGGTCAATTTTAGTTATATTTTAGTTCCAACTTTTTTTGTACTCGTCAAGGCCATTAGTCTTGAAAAACATTTATCAAGCACCCAGTGTCAATGCGGAACAATCATTCCCAGGTCAGGCAGAGCACAATTAGATGGTAGATGATACCGCTACCACTTTGCCACAAGAATGAACAGTAATCCCTAGTCTAAAAGAGACTTTCCCTGTCATTCCAGCACAGAGATTGTTGCAACTTCTACTTTCCCTATTTTGTAGAAAATTGCAGCCAATAATTTGATCTATCCAAGTCAAGACAAAGTTAACATAAAAAATGAAGCATGGCTCTGAACCGACAGGAAGAATGGAGACAGGTAGAGACGGGGAGGGAGGGACAGAGACAGAAAGTGACAGAGAGAGAGAGACAGAGAGCAGGTGCAGAGGAATGGTGGGGGGGGGGGAGAAAGAGACAGAAAGGGAAGAACGGTAGAGAGAGACAGAGAGAGAGAGCGAGAGAGAGAGCACGAGCGCGCGCGGGAAAGGGGAGAGAGAGGAGGGGGAGAGAGAGAGAGCACGTGCGCGAGACAGGGACGCACTCTCGCGTGCGCGCAGAGAGAGAGCGTGCGCACGTTGGGGGGGGGAAGAGAGAGTGCATGAGGAGAGAGAGAGGGATGCAGAGGAGAGACAGAGAGAGAGAGGGTACAGGGTGCAGAGGGGGAGGAGAGAGAGACAGAGAGACACAGAGACAGGTTGCAGGGTGTGGGGGGGTGGGGGGAGAGAGAGAGAGAGAGAGAGAGAGAGATGGGTTGCAGGGGTTGGGGTGGAGACAGAGAGATGGTGCAGAGGAGACACAGAGACAACAAAGGGGAGGGGCATTGTGGGGGTGGAGAGACAGTGAGAGAGGAAGTGAGAGAGAGAGAGAGAGAGAGAGAGAGAGAGAGAGAGAAGGGGGTGGGGCATGCAGAGGAGAGAGAGAGAATGAGAGGGGAGCATGCAGAGGAAAGAGAGTACACAGGGGGTGGATAAGAGAGAGAGAGAGAATAGGGGAGAGAGAGAGAGAGAATAGGGGAGAGAGAGAGAGAGTGCAGAGCAGAAAGAGACTGCATAGAGAGTGTTGTGTGGAGGTCTGTTGGGGTGGTGCATGTCAGTGATCTTGGGGGGCTGGCGGGGGGGGAGGGTCATGGATGAGTGTGTGGGGTGACAGTCTGTAAGCAAGTGAGCAAGTGAATGAGGGAGTGAGTGTTTTATTTCCTGAACATGCCAGGCATCCAACTTCAACCCATCAACTTTGAACTTTTCGCGAAAGTGTGGCAGCCATTAGGGCACCACATCTAGGATATGCGTATATATTTTATTATGTTACCAACACTGGCAGCCTCTGACAACCTGCTTTTCAGATTTTATTGTGGGTGGCCAGCTTTCCTGGGTCTTGGAAAACTTCACTTCACTTGAACAAGGAGCTACGCTCCGAAAGCTTGTAATTTTAAATAAACTTGGACTATAACCTGGTGTCGTGTGACTTCTGACTTTGTCCATCCCAGTCCAAGCCCAGCACCTCCACATCTTGGAAAACCTGGTAGCTGGTTCAAAGGCATAAACTGCAATGGGGAGAAGCTAAATGCCTTTTACAGCACTGATTGTGGGACAGGAGAAGCAGTGGTGGTTTGATGAAATCTTTCTTGTAGGTGCAAATTTGCTTGTGTCAAAATGCACGCCATCTGTAACCTTCAGACCTATCCCACCCTGTTAATATCCTGTGTAATATTCCCGAAGTGGAAGTTTAGTGCCTGGTCGTTGACTGCACTTGATCCCCTACTGTCTCTCCACTCAGTAAATATGAGCAACTAGTTATCCTGAAGGGGTTTTTGGAGACAATAAAGGTGCAGAGCTGGATGAACACAGCAGGCCAAGCAGCATCATAGGAGCAGGAAGGCTGACGTTTCAGGCCTAGACCCTTCATCAGAAATGGTTTTTGGAGATCTGCATTGCACAACATTATAAGTAGTTTGTGAGTCTTGAGGATTACAACCCAATAGCTCCTTAAAATAACGAGTCCATCCAGCCCACCTGAATTAGCTACCCATTTCATCTTAAACTTTGCCCTATTTTTATATATCATCTACAATTTTTCTTTTGCAGAAATGAATCTCTTTCCACTTAAAGATATTATGGAATTTGCTTCCACCACTGCTCGGTCAGTCTTTTCATTCAATTAAAAATTTCTCCTAAATGTTAGCAACTAGCTGTATTTGTTCTGTTTGTGATGGGAAATCAATGTGATCTTAAGGCTGTCTTGACTTACGAGCTCAAAACCAGCAACCCCAGCTTCCCTCTACTTACCAAAACCCCATAACCTTGAACATTTCTGTTTCAACCATCTTTTAAACTTTGTGTCCTTGTGAAAAAAAACAAAACCTTTTCAGTCTTTCCCAAGTTGTACCTTGCATAAATCTCTTCTGCACGCTTTCAATCACACTGGAATTCCTGAAATGGGGCCTGTTAAATTGGGCATGTGCCCCTTTTTCTCTTACACCCTGTGTTCTGATTCATGTTTCTGCGTACTTCCACTATCTACCAAAAAAAACCTGTAATTTGTTCTTATGCCTTTAAAGATTAAAGCTAACTCTACTAAAAGGCAGGTATTTGATGATGTGGTGATGACTCATATCATTAATACCACTGAATAACATAGGTTGCATAGGTAATAGCGAGAGGTACTACAAATTGCTCCCTCCAGTCCTGACAAAATGTTTGCTTGATGCCTAACTGGAATTTTGGAGATCAGTCTGTAGTTCCCAACAATTTTAAAAAGTAACTTCTAGAGCATGTTTAAAATCCGAAAGCAAATGCTTAGTTTTTGCATGCTGCGTTAGTACTCACAGGCAGGTATAAAGCACACGATCACTATTCATGGTGGTTTGTAAATTGTAAGGCTGCACCACTATTGTATTCTTGAGAGGTTTTGGTATGTTAAAATTTCTTACCCAGACCGCTCTGTTTTACATCAGACAGCTGTCTGGAATATGGAGGAGCCAGTAACCGGTATCCGCTGTACTTTGAAGAATTCTCAGAAAGCACCTGTCAGGCAAGAGAGACACTTTGTATAAAAAGGTGAAGACAACCTACTGAGGACTTCAGTAATGACTGGCAAAATCATTGACCATAGATGATCTATCTACAATTCTCAAATGGCAACTCTGTTATTGCAGCAATTAGTGGCACCCAACTCAGAACCATGGGGCAAACTCACCTTCATATTGAAAAACAAATGTAACCCAAAGAGAGTTTACACAAGAGGAGTGGAGGTCACCACAAGTGAACTGGTCATGCTAATAAAACCAACTCAACATTCAGAGAGACAAGTGTCTTGTACTTTCACAAAAAATTGTGCTCATTAATTCACAATTAATCAAGCTCTTTTATTGTGCAACCTTAAGATACAGCGTAGAAAATACAGCTTTGGCTGAACCACTTGACAGTAGGAGCTCAGCACAGATGAATTAAGCTCCTCAACAGTAAGGAGCACCTCTGCCTGTCACCTCAAGCCAGGGAATTCTGAATTAGGCTTGCAGTAAATGTAACACTCCTTGGACTAGAAATAATAAATGACCATTTTAACCAGCTGAAACTTTCATCCCCTGAATTCATCACTTAACCTGAAATAATGTTTGCGATTAACAAACTGAGTATGAACTAAGTATCTCAAAAAGATGGTGCCTATCATAGACCAGAAACGGATAGTACAACCAGGCTGAAGTGACAATTAGGCTCATAGAGAAACTGGAAAAGCTGGGATTGTTTTCCCAGGTGTGGACAGATTATTGTGGATGAGCACCAAATGTGAATGTTGTGATGTGCTTAATATCATTCCCTATTACTTACCTCCATTGAACCCATCTTCCTAGTCTTGGTCAGGGCAGTCTTCCTGTGACTCTGGAAAGGCTCTGCTGGCTGAGGCAAAGCTGGAAGAAACCCATCCGCATCATCACTTCCCCGATTCTCTGAAAGATCCTCCATGCTTCCTTGATCAGTCTTTGATCCACCTTCATTCTAAGGAAGAAATAAACAGCATTGCAATAATCTCTCCCTTGCTTTCTCTCTCATTTTTTCCTTTTTTTGCATCCAGTAGTTTTCCTTTTATCTCTTTGCAGGACAGTTGTTAAGGATATGTGAACTCAGAAACAGTTCAATTACCATGAGGATACTGCACAGATTTTCACAATGTTAAAAATTTATATTGTAAAGAGCTGACAATCACAAACTAGCAGCAACAACTTGCTCATGAACTGGAAGAAATACTTGAAGGGAAGATTTTGGGGGGATAGGGGAGTGGGATCCTTTGGGTAATTCTTTCAAACAGCCAGCACCAGGCTTGATGGGCCACCTTTTGTGCCACCCCCAGCAGGATGCCACCACCAGGCACATACTCCCCTCTCCTAGTCAGCCTTCCACAACGACTGCAGCCTTCAGGACACCCTGGTCTACTCCTCCTTCACTCCCAACATGCCCCACAGCCCCTTGGCACCTTCCCCTGCAACCGCAGAAGGTGTAACGTTTGCTCGTTTGCTTCCTCCCTCAGTATTCAAAGACCAAAATACACCTTTCAGGTGAAGCAGCACTTTACCTGCACTTCACTTAATCTAGTCTACTGCATTCGCTACTCACAATGTGGTCTCCTCTACATTGGGGAAACGAAGCATAGATGGGTGACTGCTTCATAGAACACTTACGTTCTGTCCATAAAAAAGGCACCTGCACTCACCTATCACCATTCCACCCACCTTCCCCAGCTCCATCCCTCCTCTCTATTCATTTCAGAGGTCCCTTACCCCTCCCCCATTTCTGAAGAAGGGTCCCGACCTGAAACGTCAACTTTCCTGCTCCTCTGATGCTGCTTGGCCTGCTGTGCTCCTCCAGCTCCACACTGTTATCTCTGACTCCAGCATCTGCAGTTCTTACTATCTCTGACTGAGCTTCCAGTTGCCTGCCACTTCAACACACCACCTTGTTCCCTGGCCAACATCTTCTCAGACTTGCTGCAGTATTCCAGTGAAGCTCAGCACAAGCTGGAAGAACAGCACCTCATCTTCTACTTGGGAACTCTACAGCCTTTTGGCCTCAATATCAAATTCAACAATTTTAGGGCTTGAGGCACTTTCTCGCACTTTTTTACCCCAACCCCCACACCCCAGGGCTGTTATCATGTGGTCTGCTATTACACACAGCCCATTGTTAGTAATGAACAGCCACCATTAGCAACTATTCATTCTCCTAGGCTGGCCATTATCCACTCCTTTGTCTATCCAATTTATCTCTCTTTGGTCTAAATCTCCACCTATCGCTTACTCCTTATCCCCTCCTCCACCCTATGTTCTGCATAAAAACTAACTCTTTCCTAGCTACCAGCACTTCTGATCAAGTGTCACTGGACCCGAATCCTTAACTCTGATTTCTCTTCACAGATGCTGCCAGACCTGCTGACTTTGTATGCTTCAGATTTCTCTTGCAGGTGAGAACAAGTTCACATTCTCAGAGATATAGTTAGGTGCCTACATACAAGTTTGCCTACATACATAAAATTTGAGCAAGGGGAATGAACACAGTTTCTTCAATTTGTTTCAGCTACAACTTTTGCCATATCAACCTCCACATCCTGAAAGGCTGCAGGTTATCAATCGTTACCTGAGACTCTAACTCAGGCTTTACTAGCCAAGCAGATACATTGAACCATTTAAAAAAAAACAAATAGCATCAATAATTGCACACTTTCCAGTAGTTGAGGTTACACAATTTATGAAGTAGAAACTCTGAATCCATTCTATGACTTGGAGCCCTCACTGTTGCTGTCCTAGTTCACTGGTCTACAATAGTTGAGCTCCAAGCTCCAGCAGGGTCAGTCAGCATAAACAGTACTAAAACATGAAGGTCCACTGTGCAGGTAAGAAGGGGAAAAAAAAAAATCAGTCCCAATTAAAACTCAACTAGTCAATCCCATTGCATTAGGACAGGGTTAAAATAACAGGTGGAAACTACACTGGCAGGCACAGTTCCAACACTATTTGCAGGCAGCAAATCAGCATTTTGAAGGTCTGTACTGCTTGCTCCTGAATTGGAGGCATTCCTAGAAATGTTTATCTAAACAAATGTTCATTTCCTGGCCATCCAATTGGCTTGTGCAGTCAATAGGCAACTCTTCATACATGTAGTTGAATTAAATTCTGGTTCTAGAAGTCACTCCTGCGTATGGACATTGGAGGTTTGTGCAGCATCAGCATATACGAGAGGGAACATAGCCTGTGCTTCGAGTAAGACCAGCAAGTGCAATTATCATCAGCATTTACACTCCAACCCTGAAGGCCAATCCAGCTAACAAGGAAAGGTTCTACACAGATCTCCGTGAATGCCGCACCCAAGGACAAAATTGTTGTTCTTGGTGATTTCAAGATCAGAATTGGCCATGATAGCCTGGTATGGAAGGCAGCGTTTGGAAACCATGCAAATGAAAACCACAATGAAACCAAATGTCTGTTCTCGGAACTCTGTGCAGAAAAACAGCTGTCCACAACCAACACCTTCTATTAACATAAAGATCACTTAAGATGAGATATTTATATCATCTAGACCACAGGTAAGTGGTTGAAGACTGGAGGTTGACTAACGTGGTGCCACTATTTAAGAAAGGTGGTAAGAAAAAACCAGGGAACAATAGATCTGTGAGCCTGACATTGGTGGTGGGAAAGTGGTTGGAGGGAATCCTGAGGGACAGGATTTACATGTATTTGGAAAGGCAAGAATTGATTAGAGATGATCAACATGGCTTTGCGAGTGGGAAATCATGGCTCACTAACTTGATTGAGTTTTTTTGAATAAGTAACAGAGAATTGAGAATGGCAGAGTGGTGGATGCAATCTATGTGGACTTCAGTAAGGCGATCGACCAGGTTCCTCATGGTAGACTGGCTAGCAAGGTTAGATCACATGGAACAGAGGGAGAACTAGCTATTTAGATACAGAACTAACTCAAAAATAGCAGACAGAGGGTGGTGGAAGGTTGCTTTTCAGACTGGAGGCCTGTGACCAACAGTGTGCCACAAGGATCAGCACTGGATCCACTGCTTTTGTCACTTATATAAATGATTTGGATGTGAACATAGGAGGTATGGTTAGTAAGTTTGCAGACAACACCGAAATTGGAGGTGTAGTGGACAGCGAAGGATATCTCAGAGTACAATGGGACCTTGATCAGGTGGGCCAATGAGCTGAGGAATGGCAGATGGAGTTTAATTATTTAGATAAATGCGAGGTGCTGCATTTTGGAAAGGCATATCAGGGCAGGACTTATACACTTCATGGTAAAGTCCTGGGGAGTGTTGCTGAACAAAAAGACTTTTGAGTGCAGGTTTATAGTTCCTTGAACGTGCAGTTGCAGGTAGACAGGATAAGGAAGAAGGCGTTTGATGTGCTTGCCTTTATTGGTCAGTGCATTGAGTATAGGAGTTGGGAGGTCATGTTGCGGCTGTACGGGACATTGGTTAGGCCACTTTTAGAATACTGCGTGCAATTCTAGTCTCCCTTCTATAGGGAGGATGTTGTGAAACTTGAAAGGGTTCAGAAAAGATTTACAAAGATGTTGCCAGGGTTGGAGGGTTTGTGCTATAGGGAGAGACTGAATAGACTGGGGCTATTTTCCCTGGAGCGTCGGAGGCTAAAGGTTGGCCTTATAGACGCTTATAAAATCATGAGGGGCATGGACAGGGTAAATAGCCAAGGTCTTTTCCCTGGGGTGGGGAAGTCCAAAACTAGAGGACGTAGTTTAAGGTGAGAGGGGAAAGATTTAAAAGAGACCTAAGGGGCCACTTTTTCACACAGAGGGTGGTGTGTGTTTATGGAATGAGCTGGCAGAAGTAGTGGTGGAGGGTGGTACAATTACTACATTTAAAAGGCATCTGGATGGGTACGTGAATAGGAAGGGTTTTGAGGGATATGGGCCAAATGCTGACAACTGGGACTAGATTAATTTAGAATATCTGGTTGGCATGGACAAGTTGGACCGAAGGGTCTGTTTCTGCGCTGCATATCCCTATGACTCTATGACAACATGGAAGTATTGCTACATTGAGCACTGACGCCAGATTGACCTAAAGGATGTCCTGCAAACTGGAGTCATGCCCAGTGCTGATTGTCATTCAGACCACTGGCTTGTGGACTCAAAGCTGAACTTCCACTTTAAACCTAAGCCCAAGAACACATCTAGAGACAAACCAAAACCTGCAAACCTCACTTTGCAGAGATAGGTTACAAGGAAGCCAGCAGAACAAATTAGAACAACCTTATCTCAGTGCCCACTCCATTCCTGAAGAACTCTAAGAGCACATTAAAGTTGCTGGAGGAACTAGTTTGATGTGAATGATTTGGAAATCCAAGATTTGCGAATGATAAAAAGGTTAGGTCACCAGGCTCCCCCAGGATCAAGCATGCAGCACCCTTTCATATAAACCGAGGAACATCCACAGTGACTGGGGCATCACACCTACAGAAAAAGCCTAATGGAATGCTGCTACTGTCAACATAAGAAGCTAGAAAAAAACCATCTGTGGACCAGCACATCACATCCAAAATCTCCTGAGGAGTGTCGACGATAAGATACTACACACCAACAGGATGTCATCCTGGATTGCTGGTTGGAACACATTCAAACACCTTTCAGTGCATTATAGTGCCATCAGCCTAATCAATCAAAGCTGATCCCTGGAGGAAACTGTGACCACCATTAACCAGGTGAATAGCAACAAGAGAAGATGGAATTCCACCCAAGGCCTTGAAACATGGAGGCCACTGCCCTACGTACCAAGCTCCGTGAACTTTTCATGGCTGCTGGGAAAAGGGCTGAATCCCGCAGGACCTTTGTCATGCCATTACCATCACCTTGTCCAAAAAACACAGGAGAAAAGGCAGACAGCTGCAACCATTGTGGGAGCTCCTTGATATCTGTTGCTGGGGAGATCCTGCCCGGACAACTTCTGAACAGGTTTGTTCCAACTATTGCAGAGGAAACCTCTCAGAAAATCAGTGTGGTTTCACAGCAAAGAGAGGCTCCACAGACATGAGCACCCTCTTGTTCAGGCATGACTGTGCTGCAGGCAATAGCAGATCTTGAGGAGGAAGTTTAAGTATGGTCCAGACTGATGAAGGATTTTTTTCCAATCTCGGGCATTTTCAAGTTCACCGAAAGAGACAGGAAAAAGCCATCTTTGACCTTCTTTTCACTGATGACTGCATTCTCCTGACCCACAACAAGTCAGATGCACAACAGCAGTGTTGTTCTGAGGCAGTACAACTCCTCAGACTAAAATTCAATGCAAAGCAAATGGAAGTCCTGAATCAGCCTGCACGAGAAGAAGAATATGGACTATCAAGCACTGTCATTGAGGGAACTGAGCTGGAGACAATACAGCAATTTATCTATTCGGGGGAGATCATCTTGTTTGATGCACCATAGACAAGGAAGTGGACAACAGGTCTTCAAAAGCAAACAATACATTTGGCAGACTCTACGAACCTATGTGGAGCAATGAGAGCCTCACAGAGCACAGACCAAACCTGAAGTGTACAAAGATATGGTGGAGTGCAAGCTAATAAATATTAAATTCCAAATTCTAATCGATTAAAAAATACATTTGAACAAGTGTCAAAATCAAACAGAGTGGCTTGAATCCTCTGTGGGGCATCTACACAACAATAAAATGAGGCAAGAGAATTCTTCCGTGAGAGAAGCTGCTTTTTAACTCCCTGTGTACCTGGACAGAATCAAAACATGTACCAACTTAAATCTCAGGGAAAATTTATTTCCTACCATAAGCAACAAACACAAACTAGAGGCAGACAGATGCGATTCAATGGCAACTCTCAAGTGCTTTACTGCCAATGAAACACCTTTGAAGAGCAGTCACTGATGTAACGTGGGAAACATGGCACAAATGATCAAACGGTGGCTCAGTGGTTAGCACTGCTGCCTCACAGCACCAGGGACCTGGGTTCGATTCCACCCTCGGGCGAATGTCTGTGTGGAGTTTGCACATTCTCCCTGTGTCTGCGTGGTTTCCTCCAGGTGCTCCGGTTTCCTCCCACAGTCTGAAGTTGTGCAGGGTAGGGTGGATTGGCCATGCTAAATTGTTCAGGGATGTGTAGATTAGGTAGGTTATGAGGGATGCTATGAGGGATGCTTTGAGGGACGGTGAGGACTTGTTGGGCCAAAGGGCCTGTTTCTACACTGTAGGGATTCTATAATAAAAAAAAACTGTTCAGGTGGTGATAGTTGAGGACAAGTATTTGACAGAACACTGCGGAGACTTTCCCTGTTCCTTTCAAATAATGCCTTGGCTCATTTAAGTCCACCATGAAAATGGGATCTCACTTTAATATCTCTACAGCATGGTTTCAATCGAAAGAAGCACATCCTCACCACCGCACTCAACCCTCACTGTGGACTATTATACTCAAGTCTCAGGATGTCGGATTAGAACCCAGAACTGTATGTCCAAGATAAAGGAACACAGTCCACTGCACTACTCTCTTGCTCACTGTCTAAGCTCTGATGAAGTGTCATCTGGACCTGAAACATCAGCTTGCCCTCTCTCCACAGATGCTGCCTGACCTGCTGTTATTTGCAGCAATTTTGTTTTTTATTTTCAGTAGAGATTCCAGCATCTGCAGTAAATCTGCTCTGTTCTGCAGCTGACGTTAAATTATTTTCATAGGAGAATACAAATACCTGAAATGCTAATTTCTAACAATTTCATACGTATGTTTGAAACAGATGCAGATATATGCATGAATCAACAGATAAATCGCGGTAAGTGAGGTATTTTTGCAGTTAAATAAAAGGAAAATGCAAAAATGATCAGTTATGTCTGACAATACAAGATTTCCTAAGGGACTCCAATAGGATTTACCTCAGCTGATGCAGGCCGAAACCCAGACCCTGTGGGGGCATTTTCGTCTTCATCACAGCCTTTAGCACCTGGGCTGAAATGAAGTTCCACGTGGAACCGTTCTTCTGAAGAAGGATCCTATTATTAAAAACAAAATCAAAGCATACCAAAATTACATTTTATAGATTACACGAACACCAATCATCATTATCAACAAGTTGATAAAAGCGGTTAAAAAAGCATACACAATCCTAGACTTTATAAGCAAGAGTACAATCAATTCTCTGTAACATTTTATAATAAGTGCAGAAAATTTTCCCAAGCTCCTAACTCATGGACACAAACTCCATGATTCCATAGTTCCCCAAGGCATCACATTTCATACTATTGCTTTTTCTTTATGAGTCAATATCCTCTGGATCAAAGTAGATGACAGAATGTGATTAGGAGTAAATGACCTTGAAGGTACCAAGCAATCATTTTTAAAATGAATCTGACAGCTGATTTATGAAATCTGTGCTGTAATCTGTGGTTCAAGTGCTTAAAGTTATTAAGATGACAAGTTAAACATTAAGAAATGCTCAGATATTCTGGTGCAACAATAACATTCAATAGCTTTCAGAGTGGGCCATTAGATCCAATCGTTCTGTTGCACCAATGCAATACTGTTTCCACCTGCAATACAACTGAAGATCTTGACTACTGTTCAGGAGAGTATATTAAAAATGGCTCCAATTACACACAGCACCCAAAGAACCGTTTTCTTTCTCTACAGTACTGTCAAAGATTTCAAGCTGAAACCACTCACTTACCTGAACACGGGTGAACAAATAACCAAAGAACTGGGAATGCTGCAAATCAAAAACAAAAACAGAAATTGCTGGAAAAACTTATCAGATCTGGCAGCATCTGTGTAGACAAAGCAGAGTTAACGTTTCAGGTCCAGTTTTGCTTCTTCTGAAAGGGTCAGTTCTGAAGAAGGATCACTGGACCCAAAACATTAACTCTGCTTTCTCTCCACAGATGCTACCAGGCCCGCTCAGTTTTTCTAGCATTTTCTGATTTTGTTACTGGTGAACAAATATTCATTTCAGACACCCTGTTTATTCAATATAAAATCTAAAAGTTTTCTCCATCTGATATGTTAATTTGAAAGAAATATATTATCTTATTTTTCTTGCTGCTTCTGTTACCTTTTTTTCAGACCAAAATATGCCAATCACACTGGGATTGGTGAAGCAATAACCAGACACATGTACAATGCGTCGAAAGGCTCTCTTGAGGTTTACAATGCTAAAGTATTGCATGTCCAATAACTTCATTTCTGAACTGTAACCATGACTGTTATTCAGTCAAATTAATCAAATCAGTAAACACAGACAAAATTCAGTCAGTTTCAAAAGGTAGTTAGTCTTGGTTCACATGGGGCCTTAGGCATTTCTATTCATTAGAGAGTCAAATTAGAATTAGATTTTATTGTCGCATGTACTCAAGTACACAGATGCAGGAGTAGTGTGAAAAGTGTACAAAGTCGCCATTCCTGTCACCAACTTAGGTACAAGTCGAAAAATAAAGAAATACAGTTAAAAGTTCAGAATTTCAGTCCTTCTACAGCCATTGGCCTGCCTTCGTTCCATGCTGGGCTTTCCCCAAGAGGGCTCACTCTCCCATGCACTGGGGCCGAACTCCCCAAGAGCATACACTCTCCCCCTGTACTGAGCTGACACCTTCACTGCCAACATCCATCCAGACCGGTCAACAGCCTTCACCGCTGAGTAACGCGGCTATAACAGCAAGGAGGCAAGTGAGACAGGGACCAGGAAGACTGCCATGTGATGAATTAACTGGTTTTAGCTCATTCATGGCATGTGGGACATTGATGTTGGTCTCTGCTCAGTTGGAAGGGGAGGACTGAGGCTGGTGGGTGGATTATGGGAAAGATCAGCAATGGTCCCTGCCCTGAGTAATCTCTGCACTTGCCAGCAGTGAAAAGTGTTAGTTTGGGATGTGTCTGAAACTTACAGACACTCACTGTGTAAACGTGATCACTTGAGAAATATGGTGGAGTGATCCTGATGCTGATGCTGGAGAAGTGTACCCCTCTAAGAAATACTGGAGAAACATTTTTCTCCTTATGGAGAAAGGAATGTGATCTCAAAGCTGAAAAGCAAAGTGGTTTTACAAAATTCAAAGAGAATCTCTCTAGATCACTTCGCTACACATAGGTGATGTTGGGACTAGTAATCCAGAGGCCCAGACTAATTCTCTGGGGACACAGGCTCGAATTCTATCGTGACAGCTGGCCGAACTTGAATTCAATTCAGAAATCTGGAATATTAAGCTACATGATAACTATCATCTATGGTTATTAAATTTTATCTGGTTCCTATGTTAGGAAATCTGCCATGCTTAGCCGGCCTGGCCTACATGCAAATCCAGACCCACAAGCAATGTGAGACAACAAGGTGCAGACCTGGATGAACACAGCAGGCCAAGCAGCATCGTAGGAGCAGAAAGGCTGACATTTCGGGCCTAGACCCTTCATCAGATGTGGTTGACTCTTAATGGTCATTATGTAGGGCACAGCAAGCCACTCAGTTCAAAGGTAATTAGGGATGGGCAACAAATACTGACCTTGGCAGTAACATCCATATCCCATGACAGAATAAAATCCAAAAAGTTTACAGCATTGAATGCATTGGAAAAGGGGATATTTATGAAGACTGTACCTTATTGTTATCCTCATACAACATAATGACAATTTGGGTCATATAATTCAGTTCTGAGACTGCTCCGAGATAGTCCATGGCTCTCTTCCACTGTTGATCCTTTAGCTCCTAAGAATTAGAGATAAAATTAATTAATTAATTCTGACTAGAAATCAATGAAAAAAATTTGGTGATAGTTTCAGAAAGGGGTGGAGGTGCTGGAGTAGCTCATCAGGCAAAGGAAGTAAGGCAAAAGCACATGACAATAAGGGACACATTGGGGTTAGGAGGGGGAATTAATCAGAAATATTTTTTCTCACAAATGCTGCACAATGTCAGGAGCACCAATCAAGGAATAACTGATTCGGTGTAAGTAAAACGTGCACTTACACACAAGAGACCTCCATAACGAAACAAACTCAGCAAAGAATGGACGTGACTTTCACTCGTGAAATAAAGCCGTGTTCGAACATGGCGCCCAGGAGACATCACCCCTCTGGAATAGCTACACAACAAAGCAAAATGCTAGTTAAGTAATCAGTAACAAAGAGATGTGCATTTACATAGCACCTTTCACAACTTCAGGACACCCCAATGTGCTTTGAGGATATTTGATGTTAAGGACAGACAAGTAGGAAAAGGAAGTGGTGGTGTGCTTTTATTTCCTTTATTCATTCACAGGATGAGTGCTGATAATATGAAGTGAGATCGGGACATTAGTAAGGGAGGATCTCAGATTGGAAGAGCAATCTGTTTGAGTGGAGCTAAGAAACAGCATGGGGCAACAGTTGGAGTTGGAGTTGAAGTTGAAGTTATTTATAAGTCACCAAATATTAATTTTAGTGTGGGCATTGTGTTAATCAGGAGATAAAGGAAACCTGTAACATGGACAACACAGTTATCATGGGTGACTTCAAATTACATACAGACTGGGTAAGACAACTGAGCACTAAATCTGTGAAGGATGTATTTCTGTAGTATGTTAGGGTTAGTTTTCTTATACATTGAGGAGTCATCTTGAGGACAGGTATTTTTAAGTCTAGTATTATGCAATTGAAAAAAGGGCTAATTCATAATGTTGCTGTCAAAGAACCTTTAGAGAGGAGTGACCACAATATGATAGAATTTGACATGACTTTTGACAATGAGGTGGTTCAATCTGAAGCAAAAGTGTCAAGTTTAAAAACAAAGGAAATAAAAAACATGAAGCACAAGTTGGCTGAGATATATTAGGAAAATACACGAAAAGGCATGACTATACATTGGCAATGAATAATCTTTAAAGAATTATCACATGGCTTACAGCAACTATACTTTCCTTCAAGATACAAAAACTCAATAAAGATCAGTCAACTATGGCTGCCAAAAGAAGTTAAAGATTGCATAATATAAAAGGCTTATGAAAAGAATGGGATAAATAGACCTGGATAATAATCATCTGATTGAGCAGTATTAGCGTGGATTTGCGAATAGAAAATAGTGTTTGATGAACTTCAAGTCTTTTGAAGATGCTAATAATAAAACAGATAGAGGCGAGTTAATGCATGAGGTATGCTTGGATTTTCACAAGACTTTTGAGAAGGTCCTTTACAGGAGGTTGGTTAGCAAAATTACAGCACATGGGATAGGAGATAATATACTGGCATGAAATAAGGATTGGCTAACAGACAGAAAACAGAGCCGGTAGGAATAAATGGGGAATTCGTCCATAGGCAGGCTGTGGCTAGTGGGGTGCCACAAGGACCAGAACAGGAATACATGTTCTGAGGTAGATGTAAAGTGGGTTCAGGAGGATTTGAACAGGTTTAGTGAGTGGCAGATGGAATATAACACGGGGAACTGAGGTTTATCCACTTTGATAGAAGAAACAAATTGCAGAGTATTTGTTAAATGGTAAGAAGTTGGAAAGCATAGATGTCCAAAGGGACCCAGCGTCCTTGTCAATAAATCACTGAAGGCTAACACATGTAGGTGGAGGTATAGCTATTAGGAAGGCTAATGAAATGATAGCTTTTATTGCAAGAGAATGAGAGTGCAGATTAATGAAGTCTTACTTCAATTATATTTAAGCTTGGCTAGACCACATCTGGAGTATTGTGTGCAGTTTTGGTCTCCATACCTTAGGAAAGATATATTACTAGAGAGAGTGTGATGAATGTTCAACAGGCCTGCTCCCACAATGGTGGGAGCGTTGTATGAACAAAGATTGGCTAAACTGACCTGCATTCTCTAGCATTTTGAAGAATGAAAGACATTCTTAAAGAAACCTACAAATTCTTGAAGGGATAGACAAGGTAGACGAAGGTATGACACATTTCCCTGGTTGGACAATCTAGAACCGGGGGTTTAATTTTTTAAAAATGACAGATGCCATTTAGGACCTAGATGAGGGGATTTTTTTTTGCTCGGAGGGTTGCGAATCTTTGGAATTCTCTATTGCAGAGGATCTTGGAAGTTGCCTTTGATAGACTTTTGACTAACAATGGTGTTAAGGGTTAAGAGGATACTGTGGATAAATGGCAATGAAGTTTTCAATCAGCCATGATCATATTAAATGGCAGAGCTGGCCAAATGGGCTCAATGTCAACTCCTGTTCTTATGTTCTTCACAAAAACATGCTGACTATCCCTGATAAATCCATGCCTCTCTAAATAACAGTTAATCCTATCTCTCAACATTAATGCCAATACTTGATCACTACGGAGGTCAGACTGACTGGCCTACAATCATTTGGCGTCTCTCTAGTACCTAGTAAGGATTGGAAAATCATCCTCAGAGCATTTACTATTTCTTCCCTGCTTCCTTTAACAGCCTAGTCTACGATTCTAGCGGCCCTGGTGATTTATCCATCTTCAAGGAAGTCAGTCTCTTCAATTCCTCCTTTCTGTTTATACTCATTTTATATCGTATTTCACACTCTTCCTCTTTAACTCGAATATTGCACCATTCTCCTCCTTTGTGAAGACAGTGTCAAAAAAACCCATTAGAACCAATCCCAAGATACCATGCACATCTCTGATAGGCCCAACATTAAGTGTCAGGTGCTCTTTTATATCCAATTGGAAAGTAGGGATGGGCCACACTTTAACGTCACATCCAAAAGATGGTATCTTCAACAGTACAGCCTTGGTTCGGCACTGTCATGTCAGTCTAGATTTCTGTTCATTTCTCTGGAATGGAACATGAATCAACAGCCATCTGATGTGGAGATGAGTGTGTTACCATCAAGTTACAGCTGATATAACAAACTAGCTCCATTCTATTGCCTATCATCTTCTCTCCAGTTCTCCTAATGAGACTTGCATTTTTGTAGCGCTTTTTACATAGAGAAATGCACCATGAGAAAATCACCTCAAATGCGTAAAAAAAATGTCAAGGAAGTGAAATTCAATACTGAGACAAACGATGCGTTAGTAGAAGGGTGACTCCATACTGACTGAAACTCTGGTGTTTCAAGTCAGATTTAGGAACAGAGATTCCAGCCAAAATATTTTTCCTCAGAAATCGAAGTCTCCCAATACTTTGCCTGAACGTGTTTTATTTTAAGTACTAGAAGCTTGTTCAAAAGGCATATGGTCAAAAATCAAGGGCATCACATGTGTATTATCTTCACTTATTGTTGAGTACATGCTAGCTCCAGGAATGCTCCGAATTGAGAAACCAGGCTGATCTCCACATCACCACCAAAAAAAGTCTTCCATCTGCCACCTCAGAAGAGGCTAGTGTAATCAGCTTGGATTTGGAATTAAGCTTTGCCAACACATTATGTGATATGAAAGTGACTGCCCTTGATGTCTAGACAGCATTTGGCCAAGGGTGGCATCAAGGAACCTTAGCAAAAATGGTGTCAACAGCAATCAGATGGGAAAACTCTGTGCCAGGTATGACTCTAGCCAGCAGAAAGGAAGATGGATGTGCTTCGTTGGAGGATAATCATCTCAACTCCAGAACATCTATCTTAGAGATCTTTGGGAATACTGTCCTGGGCCCATTCATTTTCAGTTGCTTTACCAATGATCTTCACCCCATCAGGTGGAGAGATGTTTGCCGATGATTGTACAACCCTTAGTAGCATTTGCAACTTGTTAGATACTGAAACAGTTCATGTCCAAATGTGGCAAAACATGGACAAAATCCAGGCTTGGTCTGATAAGTGGTAAATAATATTCACTAGACAATGACCATGCCCAGATATTTAATGGCTTTGCCATCACTGAAAAGCCCACAAACAACATCCTGGGAGTTACCATTGTCCAGAAACTGAACTGGACTAGTCACACAAATACAGTAACTACAGAGCAGGTTAGAAGACAGAAATTCCATAGTGAGTAACTCATCGCCTGTCTCCCCAAAGCCTCTCCACCATCTACAAGGCACTAATCAGGATGGTAGTGAAATATTCTACATTTGTCTGAATAGATGCAGCACAACACCACTAAAAAAGTTGACACAAACCAGGACAAAGGGCCATTGTGTCCACCACCTTCAACATTCAATCCCTTCACCAGCAATGCAGTGGCAGCAGCATGTACCATCTGCCAGAAACATTGCAGCAACTCACTCTGAAAGTACCTTCCAAACTTTAAACTACTATCATTTAGAAGGACAAGGGCAGCAGATGCACAGGAACACCACCACCCTCAAGTTCCCCTCTAAGTCACACAATTGGAATGGTATCACCATTCCTTCACTGGCGCCAGGTCAAGATCCTGCAATTTCCTCCCCGACGATACAGCGGGTGCCCCATACCCAGAGGACTGCAGCAATTCAAAAAGCAACTCACCACCACATTCACCAGGGTAATTAACGATGGGCAATATATGCTGGTCTAGCTAATAACACCAGCATCCTATGAACAAATAAGAGGAAAGAGGAAGTGGCTTCACCCAGTATTTCCACTGGATTGGGCCCGAATTACTCATGTTCCCTTTCTTGTACAGTTGTTCCAGAACTGTTCCCATTTCCTGTTTTGTTCTCTTGTTTTGTGTTTTTGATGAAATTAAAGATCTTCAAGCAACATGACCATTTAAGCCTGCCAGCTCTTTGAAATTGGTCATGCTTCCTTGCTGTTTCCTCATCGCCCTGTAATTTTTTTCTTTTCAAGTAGTGCTCCAATTACCTTTTGAAAGTTGCTATTGAATTTGCTTTCAATGCCTTTCAGACAGAAATTCCAGATCATAACTCATTTGGAAAAAAAATTCTCCAGCAGTTCACCCTGATTCTTCTGTCAACATTTTGTTTTTTCTGTTTCAGATTTACAGATTTTTTTCTACAAGATCTTCTCCCCTGCCATCCCAGAAATGCAAGACTAACTGCAGATGGATTTGAAACATTGTTATCAAGTACACATGCACACTCTGGAAGCAGCAAAGGCTCATATTCCTAACAACCATCTTACAGTGGATGCAGTTTGTTGACAGATTCGTCTTCATGCGTCCGTTGTAGATCAAGTTGCATTTTTTTGATCAATGGAAGGCAATATGCATAGGCAATATCCAGCTTCTCCTCTTTGTTTATGCCATATTCCTACAGAAGAAAAAATAACAGACTTGAGGGTTTGCAGAATGTCAGCACAGTTAAATTAGACAGTCAGACTTTGTCTTCTCAGCACATAAGTGCCTGCGCATAAAGTATCAACAGTACAAGAATAAAGGAGTCATGATAAATAGGTCGAAGGAAACGGTTCAGCCATACTTAAGACCACTCCATTACAGAAAGGATATTAAAGCTACAGATGCGTACAATACAGATTTACCAGCAAAATGCCATGATGTGAATTTCTCCTCAGTTTCCTAAGACCGAGACTATTCCACTAGAACAGAGAAGGCCAAGACTGGATACAATAGGAGTTTTAAAGAAAATTTATAAAAGGTTTTAAAGAAGTGATTAATGAAAGTCTTTCTTTGATTACACAGGAAATAACACAGTGAGACATCTATGTAAAAAATTCTACTAAGGGATACTTAACAAAAAAGATATTACTCAGGGATGTTCCAACATGGAGCAATTAAAGCAAGAAGCCTCACAACATCCCAAAGAAGTACAGATAACAGAGCTACAGGGTAACATGGAGAGCAGAGGACAGTAAGATAGTATAGGATTGCTCTAGCAAACAGCAGACAATTATGATGGATTGTACATAGTTCAAGTAATTCCTTATTTCATCTCATTTTATTTCAGATTTGTAGTTTGTTTCTCCATAACTATCTTCATCTTGCTATATAACAGATCTGCAGCATCAGAGCTTGGCACAGGTCCACAATAAATCAATCCCACATCAACAATAACAACTGCATTTAAATGCAGCACAATAGCTCAAACGCATCACAGGACTATAATGAGAGAAAAAAACAAAATGACACAGAGGTTATTAGACAAATTGTGAAAGGTTTGGTTAAGAGAGGTATGGTTTATGGAGGACCCTACAGGAAGAAGTGGAGAGGCTAAGCTATACAAATGGTGGGCTGATTTAGGCAAAATCGCTGCTACTATCTCTCTCTCCTCCACATCATCACAAAGATTCCCAGTTTTCCTTTCCTCTTTATGTACTCCTGTGTCTCACCTGGGATGTTGTAATGACCCAGCAGAGAGAGGCACAAACGGTGACTGGTTCATCAAAGTTGAATTAGCATTGCCATTATGGAAACTTTAAAAAAAATGTACAGAGAAATAACATCGCAGGTCAGTCAGCTTACAAAATAGAAGGGAGGGTCATTGCTTCAAAGATGATTTTTGTGTTGAAGGATCTCCACCAAGATTCTTAATCCAGCCTTTCCAATGCTGATGGATCTTCAGTTTATTTCCATAAATTGCAGGGAGAACTGTGAACTGCTTTTGCGCGCACCTCTGGGTGGAGGGAAATGCACAAATATTGCTACGAAGAGCAAGACGATGCATGTTTCAGAACTTGTGGCTTCCCTGGCCAAGCTGTTCCCATACAGTTTCAACACTGTCATTTACCCGACAACGTGGAAAATTGTGCAGGTATGTCCTTTACACCAAAAGCAGGACAAATCCTACCTTGACAAATGCAACCCCATCAGTCTATTCTTGATCAGCAGTAAAGTGATGGAAGGTGTCATCAATGGTGCTATCATGCAGCATTTGCTTCATAATAACCTGCTTGCTGATGCTCAGTTTGGATTCTGCCAGGGCCTCTCAGCTCCTGACCTCACGCAGCCTTGGTTCAAACATGGAGAAAAGAATTGAATTAAAGAAGGGAGGTGAGAGTGATAGCTCAACATCAAGGCCACATTTGACCAAGCATGGCATCAAGGAGACCTAGCAAAACTAGAATCAACAGAAATCAAGGGGTAAACTCTGTAGCTGGAGTCATACCTGGCACAAAGGAAAATGGTTGTGGCTGTTAGAGTTCAGTCATCTCAGCTCGAATTCTTCATGGTGGTGTCCTAGGTCCAACCACCTTCAGATGTTTCAATGATCTTCCTCCTCCATCATAAAGTCAGAATTGGGGATGTTCACTGATGATTGCATACTATTCAGCACCATTAGCGACTCCTCAGATACTGAAGCAGTCCATTTCCCAACGCAGCAAGACCTGGACAATATCCAGGCTTGGGATGACACTGTCAACTCATATTTGCACAATGCGAGTGCCAGGCAATGACCATCTCCAACAAGAGGGAATCTAACCATTGCCCTTTGACATTTAATGGTATTACCATAACTGCACCATCAGCATCCTGGGGGTTACCATTGACCAGAAACTAAACTGGGATTGCCATACATTGCAGATACAGTATTAGGTCAGAGGCTATGAATCCTGCAGTGAGAACTTCCTGACTCTCAAACCTATCCACTGTCTACAAGGCACAAGTCACTTGTCTCTGTACAGCTCTGACAACACTCAAGACACTTGACACCATCCAGGATAAAGCAGCCCACTTGATGAGTACCACATCCACAAACATCCCCTGCCTCCACCATCAATGCTGAGTAGCAGCAGAGCAGCAGTGTGTACCATTTTCAAGATGCACTGCAGAAATTTACCAAGGCTTCTTGGACAGCATCTTCCAAATCCACAACCACTTCCATCTAGAAGGACAAGGACAGCAGATATACAGGAGCATGACCACTATCCAGATTTGGAAATACATCGCAGGTCCTTTAGTGTTGCTGGGTCAAAATCCTGGATTTTCCCCCTGAATGGGGTTGTGGGTGTACCTGCACCAAATGAATTGCAATGGTTCAAGAAGACAGCTCACTACCATCTTCTCAAGAACACTCAGAGATGGGCAATAAATGCTGACTGATCCCAAATGGACAGAAGGGGTTTAAGGTGAAAAAGGCGAAGAGGAGCTCACAGCTAGAGTTCTGGTTTCTAATATAGTCTACTGAAAGTACTTTATAAAACCTGACAATATTTTACACACTGGGAAACCAGTAGAACCTTTGATTCAGCACTAATTTTGAGTAGAGCCTTGCTCAGTTGAGAACAAGCTGAACAACCAAGTGCGATCAATACTGCATCAGTGAATTCACCCCATAGCGTTCTACACGTGCCAAGATACGTTGTCCTCGCCTCTGTATAACAGCAAGAACAAAGGAACAAGCACCCAATTCAGTTGGCTTCAAGATAGTTTTTGAGAGCTGAATATCTGCCAGTAATTTATTTCAAGAATAAAAAACAATTTCCAGTGCATAGCAATGCAGTGAGAACAGAAGCATGCATCTACTGATGGAATTTGCTGTTCACTCAAGTTAACAGAAAAATACTCCTTTCCACTCTCCCCTCTGCCTTCAAATCCTCAGTTTTCCCAACCCTGATTTTGTTATCTTACTCAGCACGCATTTTCCCACCACAACTCACTGATATTGGTCAGGATTTCAATTTTAAAAGAGAGACATGTAACATTTGGTTTGCTTGTTAAAAATTACTAGTCAGCTCATTCAAACAAATTTCAAAATCACTTCCCAAGCTTTTGAAGAAGTGAGAATGCTGAATGGTAGGAGGGCAAGCAGGAAAGGGAAGGAATTTTATTCCCCGAACAATAGGAACTCAATTATCTTGCCTAGTAATTTTTATCTGCTCAAATTAGCTTTTAAATTCACTCTCAATTAATTAATTTATCAACATGGGAATTGGGGTGGGTGGAAGGGACGAACGCTTGGTTTGAAATGAAGCACCGGTGTAATTCCATATTGCAACACAAATACATGGCTACCTCAAACCTAAAAAATGCAGAGCTGTTGCAACTTTCCCTGCAAATTGCCATTTTGGATCAGGAAACCAAAAGACATTCTCCCAGCACAGGGTAGCACAATCATTTTCTGTCAGCTAGGATTCAACCTAAAACTTACACACTATTTCAATTAGTCTTCCTTCAGGATCACTGTACTGTAAATAAATTTATTTAAAGGGAGGCCAGCTATGACAGGCACAGTTACTTCTCGCACTGTACAAATATATTAATATACATACAAGAACAAACGGACTGCAAGATATTGTTACTGAGCTAGAGATGTCCAGAAAGAGAGAAAGAGAGAAAGAGAGAAAGAGAGAAAGAAAGAAAGAAAGAAAGAAAGAAAGGAGAAGGAGGGAGAGAAAGAGAGAGACTGACTAATTGATAGACACAGAGGGAGAGGCAGGCAAACAGACAGGGGGAGATATAGAGTGTGACAGAGAGGATAAAGGAGGAGAGAGAAAGAGAGAGAAGAAATAAAGAAAAAAGAGAAAGGAAAAAAAGGGAGGCGAACAGAAAGACAGAGAGAGGAGAGAACAAAAAAAATGAGAGAAAAAAAAGTGAGAGATTAGTCTGTCAACGTATATGATACATATAAGTAGGGACAAACATAGTCAGGGCTTCTTATTGACACTAATGAAAAATCATAGAATTTGTAGCATTGTGGAAGTGGTGTTTGCACCTTAATTCTTAGATGCTATAGAACACAAAGGAAAATAAATGGTTTAAAACAAAACATCCGAGAGATTTGAAGCCATTGTGAGAGACAGAATGGAACTCAAGCAGAAAAGACTCTACGTGCAGACAGTGCCTGCATAGCTTGCATACTAAAGCATTGTTCACAGTGAGAGATGTCACACTGGGGAGATGTGAGGACAGACAGCAAGGCGGGCTCAGAGAACCCATTTAAAACACATACAAGCTCTATTTATTTGCAATAGTGGAATACGCCAATATAGATTACTTTTTTTTAAGTAAAGTGAGCGAAGTCTGACAGTTCTGTTCACAGCCACATACTGATCGGTCACTATAGTGCGGTGCTGAACCTGATTATTATATACCAATTGATTTTTACAGCTGCAACAAAAAACCCATAGGGCCTTCATGACAGACAACTAAATAAGTCAGAGACTGTTTCAATGAAAGGTGATTGACCCAAAACATTTCCTGTTTTTTTCCCATTCGATGCTGGGTGACCTGCTGAATATTTCCAGCATTTTCTGGTTTTTACTTCAGACTTTTGACATGCACCATATTTTTCATTTTGTGCCAGAGACTTGTTAGTTTAGTTAGGTAGTAGTATAATCCTTCAGGATTCAGTCTAGCAGAGCCAACCACTCTAACTACGATCGCCCCTACTTTAACATTCTTTTAACCAAGCTTGGTCCTAATAGGATCTTATATGGCTCAGTGACAAATTTAGCCTGATTAGGTTTTGGAATGGTTTGCAACATTAAATGAATGTTGTACCTAACATGTTGTAGGGAGCTACAGGAAATGTATTGAAAAGTTCACTTGACAACATAATTTCAGTGATGTTTGGAGACAATGTTGCATCATCAATGGTGCAGAGATAGAGTCAGTGGTGAGATTGCCCAAATAAGAACCACTAGTGGTTAAGCTCAATGACAAGGAACTTATGTCACTAAATGCAGACTCACAGGTACACACAAAAGCAGAAAGTTTCCTGGTTATTCCTTCCTCAAAGCCCTGTCTTCTTACCCCAGCTAATTCACATTGTTGCTACTTGCGGGATCTTCTTCCTTGCAGGATCGTGCTATGCATGAAACATGTACCAAATTTACCTGCAGCAGCAGTTAATGGAATTCCAAATAACTGGAGATATTGGAGAGGTTTGTTTAAGTGCCAAACAAATTTCATCAAATTTACAGCATAGAAAAGGCCAATTGTCTCAACGATTCTGTGCCGGTGCTTATATTCCACACGAGTCTCCTGCCATTCCAATTCCTTCATTTCAGCATTTCAGCCCATCTTTCTATTCCTTCTAATCTCATGTCTTCATCTAGGTGCCTCTTGAAATCATCTATGCTTTTTGCCTCAAACTTTTTCTGTGGGAGCAAGTTCCACATTCTCACCACTCTCTGATTAAAGAAAATTCTCCATTTTTTCTCTGTTGGATTCAATAGTGACCATTTTGTACTAATGCCTCCCCTTTTGGATTAACCATAAGACAGAAATTTCTCCACGTCCACCCTGTCCAACCCGACCATCAACTCATAGACCTCCATCAGGTCGTCTCTTAGGCTTTAAATTTTTCCTAACCAACTCAATCATGCTCAATAGCTGCAATCTCTCAGTTCACGTATCTTCCTTATAAATCTCTTTTGCACTTTCTCCAATGCTTCGGTCATCGTTTATGGTACAGGGACCAGAACAGTGGGGGTGTTGCATTGCTAGAATCCTGTACAATAAAGGCAGGAGTTCTTTTTTTCTGCCATTGAATGAATAAGCCATTCAACTAAAAAGAGTAGCCAGCTTCCTGTGTGTGGCGCATGTCGAAAAGATATGCAAATATGCCTTATTCAAGCCAAGCTTCTTGTTCTATTTCTGTGTGTGGCGTAACAGTATATGCAATGCAACCTTCAAATGTGCCAGGCATTGCGCTACTTTGATTCATGGAATGTTCCGGTCTGATGAAAACATATTTGGATTACGAAGTTTATTTAGGATTGCCAAACAGAGACTTGAGCCAAGGGATTGGAGCTAAAATACTGCGAGAGACTGCAGTAAAATGCACCACTTTTAGGCAACTGCAGTTATTGATGCCATCTAATGGGTATATGGTATAACTGCAGCTTTGTACAAACATTTTTAAAAACAGCACTGCTCAATGTCATTTTATTATAGCATCTCCACCTCAATGTGTATCGAATCGTTCTGAGCTCAACAATAAGTTCAACAATTTTAGACTGAAAACATTATCAATTTTCTTTAATTGTTTCAATCTCTCTCATTTTTAAGTTCTGCTTTTGTGTGCGCGCGCATGGTCCCTCCAAGACCTAATTCATCTGTTTTCTCGCTACCAGAAAGATGTGGACGTGCTGGTGTTGGACAGGGATGGACAAGGTCAGAAATTAAACGACACTAGGTTTAGTCCAACAGGTTTATTTGAAAACACAATCTTTCGGAATCTTATTCCTTCTTCAGGTGTGTTATACATTCTGTGTCTGATACTACCTCTCTCACTAACTGAGGGGGAAGACTCTGAAAGCTTGTGTTTTCAAATAAACTTGTTGGACTATAACCTGGTGTTGTTTGACTGCTAAAAAGATCACCACAAACATCAACTCTGTTTCTTCATCTATAGATGCTGTCTGACTTGCTGAGTATTTCCAATATTTTGTTTTTTCTAAATGGGTCTGGGAAGGCAAGGTATCAACTCATGCACTCAACAGTGCTCATAATGAAGGAAAACACCAGAGATACTTCACAGGGTTGCTTTCAGACGAAAAAGATTAACACAAGTGCAGCTACTAAGGCTGTGTACAGACACAGGGTTTGTTCATTCTGGAAAACGGAGTCATTATCTTTCACATTTGATACCTTAGTAGTATACACTGTTCTGTCCTATTGATTCCTTACCTGAGGAATAATGATGTCCGCAAGGGCTTTGGAGAGTTTGAAGAGCTCCAAGGTATCCTCAAGTTTCAAGGCGCTGTTGTGTTGCACATCATATTTAATACAATCATAGATATCCGGGATTTTGCTGATGTCGTAGCGACCACTTTTCATTCTGAAATCTCTCTCCAGCTTTGACCAGCGTTGCAGCATCAGCTCCAGAGTTTCACTGTGGTACAGCTGAAGGTCTGTCATCAACAAGAACATTTGTGTTAAATAAATTTTAGTTTCAATTCACCAGGCTAAATTCCAGAAAGACTATGAGTAGTAGTTACATTCTGCGAGAAGCAAAAAAGCGCACTCAAGGGAAAAAATAATCCGACAGCTATCTTTCAGGAAACTGAAAGAAAAAGAACACATTTACGTTTTTCATATAGGTGACAAGCTTAGCTTCACAAAACAGTACTTATTACAGACATTATGAGGTTTGGTAGAAATACTATCTGCCATGGGTTACATTGCATGTGCAACACCTGCCTGCTTCTGCCCTGACACCATGACCCTTTGTACATGTTCGTTCTAATGCACTGCATCTCTGTGCTCATCTGAATTAGGATGCTGCTTCCATTAGACCATAAGACAGAAGAGCAGCAGGAGGCCACTCAGCCCATTGAGTCGGCTTCACATTCAATGAGATCATGGCTGATCTGATAATCCTCAAATCCACTTTCTTGCCTTAGTCCCATAACCTTAAATTCCTTTACGAGTTAAAAATCCGTCTATCTCAGCCTTGAATGTACTTAATAATTCACTCTCAATAGCTTTCGGTGGTCAAGAATTCCACAAATTCCTCCTCATCTGTCTTAAATGGGCCACTCCTTACGCAGATTATTCCTATGATCCTAGACCCTCTAGAAGGCAGAAAAGTCTTTCTGCATCTACCCAGTCGACTTCCCTAAGAAGCTTATGTGTTTCAATAAGGTTGCCTCTCATTTTTCTAAACTCCAATAAGTACAGGTCCAACCTATTCAACCTCTCCTTGTAAAGCAGTTCTTTCACACCCAAGATCAACCCAGTGAACCTTCTTTGTAATGCCTTCGATGTCAGTATATATTTCCTTAGGTAAGGGACCAAAACTGCTCTTAGTATTCCTGGTGCGCGCTCTCTTTGTCTCTCTCCACGCTCCTGACCATGGAAGCTGATGTCAAAAAGTTCTTTAAACTTTCCTCGTGTGCAGCATAAGCCAACTAACAAGGACGAGGTGCAGCACTGGCAAATGAGAGAGCTACTGTACATGCACCAGCATTGAACGATTGGTAAGATTAACTCACGAGGACAGACTCATACAAAACTTATTCACAGTAATAGTCAAGGTGTCTGGCTGTGCAAGTATTCCTGATTTAAATTATTGTGCTATCCTTTTACTATAGTGAACCAGACTTAAACTGAAAAGCACTTTCATTAGAATGTAATTTTAAAATTTAAAACATACTAACTTTGTTTCAACGTTACTTAGAACAGTGATGGATGGCAGAAGGAATTTGTGAACCAGACAATGTGAATGGGAGAAATTATAAGGGCCACTTGAAACTGAAAAGGTGGTATCTCTACTGGTATTAATCAAGTTCCTTCACAGCAGGCTCAGAAAAGCCTCTAAACTTTTTAATAATATAACCAATATCATTTTTGTTCAGAAACCAGCAAATGGTAGGAATCAGAAACAAAAGACAAAAATTGGAAGTACACTATGTCAGGCAAATTAATGAAGATGTTGCAAATCTAAATAAAAACAATGTGCTGGAAAACACTAACCAGATGTAGCTGAAACATTAACTCTATTTCTCTCCATAGATGCTGTGTGACCTGCTGAGTATTTACTCCAAGAGACAATGTGTTTCACCAGGAATTTGTTTTTAGAACACTTAGTCTGTTTATTCTATTAAGTTTCCACAGCTTTCTGCTAAATAATTCTGCTAGCAAAAACAAAAAGTAAAAATACATTTACCTGCTGATTTGGGGTCTTCTAATCTCTTTCTAATCTGAGAGGTGAGACTCTGGACCAGGGAATATACTCGGTCACAGGTACTGACAGGGTTTTGAATTAATTTCATGGAGTTAATAAGGGAAGCGCTGCCGGTTGGAGCCAACTGAGGATAAAAGAATGAAAACAGACCAGATCAAATAGTTTTAATTCAAAACTAAGAAATCAAATCGCATTCAATACTCTGTGCTTCTGACACATTGCCTGAAGGTTAAGAAATAAATTAGACATTGTTACAAAGACTATGAGATCCAGCACAGTTTCTTTTTTTCAAGACTCTAAGATGTTATGTCTTTTTACACCCAAATCCTTAGGACATCATTAGACTTGGTCAGGCAATGATCAATAACACTTTCAGAATCATTACCTTATATAACAATGAGACTTGCGAAGTAGGGAGATGGAAGAACACAGAAAACAAAGATTGATTAAGACTTTTAGAAGAAAAATAATGAAGACCACAAAACAACCCAAAGAATTATAGAAATCGGAAACAAAAACAATTTTTGTTTTTGTTAAGGATGACCTTGGTTATTTCTTGTACCAGGGCACAGTCATATAGTGTGAAAAAGCATCTACACAAATACGTTGGAGACCTGCTGTTTTGGTTTTCTAATTGGTAAACTCTTACAATTTAGATATTCCAGTGACTTGTAGGTGCATGGACTCAACACCCCATCCCCTGATTTATTCCTGACCCGCATTGGGTGCAGGCACACAGTCCAAGTCTACTCAATTACCTTGGTGTAATCCTCCTCTGTAAACATCTGATCCTTCTGCATGATCTCGTGAAGCCTTGCTTTGACACGGTGCTGACAGCTGCTGAGGGAATTGCTATTACTGTCCAGTAGACCATTCATGTTGGCACTTTTCACCATCTGCACAAGAATTGGAGTCAGCTCACCCTCCAGTGCGAGGAGCCCCTGCAACCGAGCACACAGAGATGATGGACTACTTGTTGAGGATGGCCGTACTGGAAATAGTAACATATCTTCACTCCATTAGTTCAACTGATGGTATTAAACATCATCTTTTTCTGGATTACAGGCAGAAACCCTAAATGCACCAGTCTGATACCTTCCATTGTTCACTCAAGTGTGGTCAGGGTGCATCAGCATCCTGCCAATAATACATTTAATTTTGATATATTTCCATTGGCCATTTGATTTTCTGTTACAGTGCCCCACCAAGGGGCTGCCTAACCTATTTAACGTTTATTTATTTAAACAAGTAGATAGTGTTTTTGATTGTTCATATTTTACTGAAAATTATTGTAAGTTGAATGACTGGGATGTTCACAAAGCCTGCCTTTTGCTCATTTACCTTAGCAAAAGCTGCTGCAGTCATCTGGACTCTGCCTTCATCAGACGCGTAGATCTTCAGATCATGCCTGTATGTGCTGTGTAGACGAAGTAAGCCACAACCAGGAAAGCCAGCATAATCCCCTGAGGGCAAAGAAACCACTTCACTCAGCATTTAAAACCATATAATTGATTAGCTGGAACATTTGAACAGGAGTATATCCATTCATACCCTCATGGCCTGTTCTGCTGTCCAGGGGGCGCCAAGTTAAGGTGAATGACAAAAGAACCATCAGCAAAAGGGAAGACGGTTTTACCCCGCAAATGATGAGGATATGTAATCTGCTGCCTGACAGGGTGGAATCATCACAGTTTTCAAAAAGGATGTGGATGAGAACTTGAACAGAAAAAAAAAATTGTAGGACTACAGGGTGGCACAGTGGCTCAGTGGTAAGTACTGCTTCCACATGGCAGGGACTCTACAGGGAACTGGTGAGGTTGGGGAAAAGAGTAGAAATAGCGGAGTTGTGTTTGCAGAGAGCTGGTACAGACATACAGACTAAATAGCCTCTTTCTATACTTTAGCCATTCTATGATTTTTAATCCTAGAATCAATTTGGTGAATCTGTGATACGCCACTCCACAGGTCAATTTATGGGCAGAGAGCGAGACAGAAATTTCTTCTGGTCACTGTCACTGTCCTAGATTTTATACATCTACTGTTTTCTGGTGACATATACTGCTTTGGTTACTAACTATTTAATTCAAGGGACTAAAAACAGATGAGCATATTAATAGGGGATGAGCTATCCTGGTATGACAATTCACTGCCAAGAAATGCTCTGGAGATGACCATTAGGGGCATTATATTTTACAGGTTTGCTCTTATTTCTCAGCTTAGTTAGAAACATCGCTCAATGAACATGAAACTCAGATCATTCAGTGACATAAGCTACCGTCCTTTATTTTTTCCTCTATTTATCCTTCGACTCCTTTTTATTGTGACTTGAGGGTTGGCATGAGGCTTCTTTGTAAGAGACAAAGGCGAGTTCTCCCACCTGCATCATCGATATTGGGATCGTAAGAGTTGCGACAGCTCCTACCGACAGCCAGATCATCATTAGGGCAGCTGCTCAGATTAGAAATCAGGGCCAGAAAAGATTCTGATTCTTAACATTTTGTTGCAGAGAAATTAAAGGGAACAAAATCAATGGGGAGAGAGGATAGGGAACAACTGCATATTTTGATGCAAGCAACGGAGCCAATTCAACGGTGCTTCTAGTATCTAGTTCAGGGTTGGAGAGTGAACCCAGTCTAAACTGTGTTAGAAAGCTTTCCAAGCTAAATTTGGGGCACTTTCTAAATTCTGGAAACAGTCCTAGGCACTGGCAGATCGTCTGTGGTAGAGTGAGTAGACAGGGAGATACTGGCTTTGGATGCTGCCAGTCAGTACCAAAAACTGCTGAGAGTTTTCAATGATAGAGACAACAGTGATTGCTCTTGCCAGCCTTGTTTCTACAGTATAACACCACTTCAAAAATAAAAATAACCCGTTATGGTCAACAACCTTCAAAAACCCAGAATTATTTAGTACAATGCTTAAAACTCAACATCATACACTCTCGAATGGAAGAAGAGTTGTTAAAATATTGGTTCTGTAAAATAATGGAGAGTCTATAGTTTGCAGAAGCAGCACAAACCAAACTGATCAATAGTTCTAAAAGGGAATGATCCAGATCTGCTAAATACATATAGTGGGAAAACCAAACCAGTTAGCGACTGAGGGAGACTATTATATACAACTAGAGGAGTCATCCCACTATTACATCATTAACCTTATCAATAAAGTCTTAAAAGGACTGCATCCTTGGAGAACACTTCTATTAATAATCTGGATGCACATAATCAGGGTATGGAAAATACTGTCCTGAAAGAAGATTACAAACAAATCAATAATGCTTCCATTTTAAACCTTTACTGATGGATCTCTTGTGGGGTCCCTCAATATAAATTGAATGATGTACTATCTTGCAGGCACTGAAGTATTTTCTTATGTAATTCACAGTGCTCTATTTTATTAAGTTGCAGTGACATCCCTTTAACACCATAAATTCGAAAAGGGAGCTGGATAGTTAATGGACAAACCTGCAAACAATGGAAAGTATTTAGTAGAATGCAAGACTAGTACATACCCTTAAAAGGTAAAAATTTCACTTGTGTAGTTAAGAAACCATAACCAACAAATGAGGTAAGAGACAGTACCAAGCTAAAATAAAAGGCTTATGTAAATACAAGGATGAAAGGGAATCCAATGAACAGGAGGAGCTATAAAAAGCAGCAAAGGGATACAGAAAAAGTACTGAGAGATATCAAAATCAACAGAAACATCTTTAGGCATATATTGAATGAAAAAAATGGTAAGGTGGAAAGTGGGCCTATTAAAAACAGATGCAGGTGCGATTTGTCAGTGGAGTATTTTGGAGAAAGAGGATGACTCATTAAGAATGAATACACAGAATGTATGGCTCAAAAATAGGCCATTTTGTCCAACTAGTCCAAACTCATGTTTATGTTCTATTTGAGTCTCCTCCCACTAATATCCACCATCTGTTCCCTGCACCTCCAAATGCCTGCTTAGGTTCTCCTTAAATGATTCTATCCTATTTGCTTCAACCACTTTCTGTAGTAGTCATCGAGTCATACAGTGCAGAAAAAGCCCTTCGGCCCATTGAGTCTGCACCGACAATAGCTAGTGAGGTCCACATTCTTACCATTCTTGGCTAAACAAGTTTTTCAGAACTGAAATAATACCAATGCAAGGAAACCTAGATGAAGTCAAAGAGCGGTACTTCGTGGATTTAATATGATCTTTAAAAAAAGTTTCATTTCCCTGCACTGTGATGAGCCAGTAAATGAATAAATTCTGTTCAGTTTGATTCGGTAATGTAAGAATTTAAATTCCAGATCATTGTTACTATTAGAATACTGACAGGTTCATTCATTTTGTGAATCACTCTGATTAGTCTGTTGCATATCTGCTTTAACTGTTAGATAATGTACAGATTAAAATCAGTCCCAGGGCTGGACATGCAAGCAGGATGAATATGGTGTTAATTCATCACACACCGAGACAGGAAACACTCAATCAATACCTTACCACAATCAATGGGTGATTCACAGCTCAAACCTGTGTTGCTATCATCTAAATTAATTTAAAGGTAGGAGGGAAAGACAAATGAATTAACATTATTTACCCCTCATTCCCAAAGAGATTCTAAATGAACAGTAACTTGAATACATACACACCTTTAACATAATAAAAAAGTCAGTTAGGACATCAAAGTTGCACACTGTCAAGTTCAAACTGGGCAGGGAGGAGACAACTGTGTGCAGTTTTAGCAGAAGCCATCATCTTTAGTAATAAACACTTAAATATAAGAATCTCTTTATATCAGTTAAGGCACTGGAGAGGCAGCCTCAGCAAAAGCCTGAAACGATCTTTATGGATATATTGAAAGTGGTGTTCAGCACCATACAGGTACAACATATAAACGAGAAAAAGGGAAACAAATGTAAGACATCGTACATCCCAAGGTGGCTGTTTAGAAACAGGAGGATAAATCATTCGTGGATATTTGCTAATTGCAATAGAGCAAGCAGAGCAGGAACAAAACAAGTACATTTTATTCATATTCAGGATATATTTCAAAGTGCTATTTAAGTCATAATTAAACAAACGACTAAAAAAATCAGATGATTGTTACCACTTCATTATTTCCCATCTCTCTCCTGAAGGAAATTACTTGCACTGGGCTGCAAATTCATGGTATTTGATGTTCACTAACTCAACCAGAAGCCATACTTTGTATTTGGTTTTCAAATGGAGAAGACATACAGCTGACCCCAACTGTAACATTCCAGCAAAGGTTTCTGAAGAGCATCCAGGTGCAAGTATCTTTGTGGATTTATTTCCTCCCGAGCCTAGGGGCATCAAGGCAAAGTGCTGCGCATCTTGCTGCCACACTTAAATTTCCTCATAGTGAACAATCCTGGTCTTGCAAATTACAAAGTAGCCAAGGAATTGGAAATATAACAGTTCCTGGCACTTTTAACAGAAGACAGGATTATCTTCGAGTAACTGTGTGCTTTAAAATTAAACTGCTTTCTCAAAGGCTATGTTTATGTTTCCAGTTTTCTGACCATGTCAAAGCTGAAAATTATAAAAATAGGTACTGTAAGGTCATTGATTTCTGCCTGGAACAAAAAAAGTAATGAATTTAATTCAAGTAATCAAGGTACATTGATTCTAATCCAGCTAGCAACAATGGAAAAAGGTCAAACACTAAAATAATCCACAGTTTGAATTACGGATGAATACCATCGTAGTAAAGCTGCACTCATAAAACATTACCAATCTCACAAAATTTGCCTGGAAACATGATCATGCTGTTACTTCAGGACGAGTTAAATCTTCCAAGATACAATCTGTGGTGACAGGACTACAGCATTAAAAGGATTTTTGCAATCAGAAGCTAAATTTCCTGTCTCTCCATCAAGTAATGCATAGCATCAGAAATACAGTCTATATTCCTTCATTTGGTTTGTTCATTATGCTGGTCAGCTGCAACCGACTTTATAAATTCTCCCCATGGTCATGTGGATCAGATGAGTCCAACTCTTACTGTCACATTGCATCTTCAGCAAAGTTTGTGGCTGTTCAGACTCTGACTGGGAACTACATTCACTAGTTACTCTCAGGATATCACTTTGCTTTAATTCCAGCATATGTTTGGTTACTTAAAGTGCTCTTTCGTTGAAATTCAGGGAATAAAGTCATAACCTTTATAACAACAAACTGTGACTATCGCCCTGTGAGAATTGAATGCAATGATTTTTATACAACACTAAACTCAGGGGCCTGCTGAGACAAAATATTTTGGAAGTGGAGATAGGAATTAAATTTCTTCATTAAAAACCAATTAGAAATGCACAAGAGGTCCTCTTATTCTTTCCCTTTAAACCTGTTGATGGAGGAATCACGTATCTCCATGAATTCTGGGTAACCCTCACAAAGTGATACAAGTCAGCACTCCGATATCAACAAAATCACAATGTGTGGGAAGCGGCAACGAGAGCAGAAAGCTTTCTGTACATGGGCTACATGTCAGGGGGAAGAAAGATCTCTGTAATAGTTTTATTTTGGTGATCGTCATGTCTTCCCCTTTCATGTAAATATATCTATGAAGGGTTTGTGCTTGTATCATAATTTTAGTTATACTCGACAATAAAACTGAAATAAACAATTTAAATGATACCTAAATTATTTGTAGCTAGAAACAGAGAGAAAAGTGTCCAAGCTTTTAATGTTGTGCATTAACTGCATATGTACTGAAGATCTCAGTACTTTGCCTATGTCCCAGGTTGCTGATCCTGACAAGTCTTGGTGTTCTGGGAAAATTTATGTACCAATAATGCAAACAGCTCCAAAAAGAGCCCATTGCAAACCTCCAGGCACAAAATTTAAACAGGACAAATCAGCAAAAGTAAAACAAGGAAAACAGGAATAAGGACAAGAAAACTGGGATTTCAACATAACATGTACTTCTAGGATCACAGGTTGGGCATCTCTTCTCCAATGGGAGATTCCAGAGTCAATAAACCAGACTGCAGGTAAGCTAAATCACCTAATATATTCTGTAATTGCACCACAGAAGCAGTGTGGTACCAGGCAGTTTCATTTTACAAATGTTGCACAATTGTAAGATAACGCTATGTATTCCATCCAATTAAACAAGGTAGAGTATCCATATATCCATGGTACACAATCAATCACAGAATCCAACCAGACAACAAACTCTGGAGATAAATCTTATGGAATACATCTTGGTAAAGATACTGCTGCATTTCCTGCATTAGGAATTGGTGGATTTTGATTGTGTCCCAGGGTTTTGTGCATAGCTTTATTCTATTAGATTGAAATTGTTGCTGTCGTGATGCCTGTGCTACGAAGGAGTGTCACCAATGCACCAATGATACAATCAGTGGAAGGTTTTCATCAGGAGTTTTTAAAACTTTTTGCAAATACTACTGTGAATTCCTTCTCCAAGTGTTTCCAAAGGAAATGACCATGATCCGAACGGAGTCAATATTACTACCATTAACAGAAATTCCATACTTTAAATGCCAAATTTTCAGATTACAGAAACAATACAGATTTCATGTTCTGGCTCCTTGGGAGGCAGAGATCCTTGTCTGAAAGCAACCAGGCCTCGAGTGAGAAACACAGCAAGATCAGGAGATAAGAGAAAAATCTCTCCGAAATTGCACAACGCATGGAGAAAAAGTTTACATTCCAAATATACTGCTACATTAAAAGGCACGTACCTTGGCCTCCAGGGTACATGCATCTAAATGCTCGGCCAAGCTCCTCTGCTTGCACCCTGCCTGCTGGAGTCAGTTCCCCTCCCCATTTCAATACCAAAAGTAGTGATGGATCATTCCTCCTTGAATCTGCAAAACAATGAGTCACAGCCATTAACCCTTTGAACATTATTTAATTTTCAAATACACTGCAATATTAAAATGACCAAGTTGGTTAAAAATACACTATGCAAATAAAAAAAAACCCATTGTTTGATCTGCAGCGCTTGGCATTAGTCACAATTGGTTTCAGTATTCTCGGGCTGGGAGAGAAGAAAAATCATTCAGAATTCTTGCTCCAAATCAGTATCTGATAACCTACACTGCTTGGAGGTGCAAGGATGTAGACTTTGATCATGGAGAAGATTGGCTTAGCCATGCTATCTTGCCCAGGGGTTAATAGTTTGCCGAGACCCATTACTTTTGGGTGACGTTTGAACAACAGCTCCTTGAGTAAGAAACTATATGTCAGTATCATCACTCCAATTCAAGTTAAAAGATCAATGGCTCATGTTCAGGCCAGTGGCATGAACACACAATCTAGTCTGACTCTCCCAGTACATTTCAGAGAAAATTCTGCATGCTGCAGGTGCTGTTTTTCTGATAAAACAAAAAACAAAACCAATCCTCTCAAGTTAATGTACCCAATTCTAAATCCATACCTTCCTCTTCGCTAGAAGTTTTGGGTTGACCGTGAGGCAAGTATGTCATCTGAACCTTCCTGTTGATTCCAGAAAAGTGACCATACCTGGAAAATGCAATAACATATTGAAATGAAGAAACGAAAGGAAAGCTCATTAATGACGGAATTCAAACTGAAAAGTAGAAAGAAACCAGAGAATGCCGGAGAAATTCAGCAAGTCTAGCAGCATCTATGGAGAGAGAAACACCAGAGTTAATGTTTTGAGACTGATAGGATTCTGAAGAGTCATTCCAGATTGAAAATATTAATTCTTTTTCTGCCTCCACAAATGTTGCCAAACCTGCTGAGTTTCTCCACATTTTCTGTGTTCATTTCAGATTTTCAGCATCTGCTGTATTTTGCTTTTATATATAAAATAGAAAAAAAAGTGTTGAAAAGCATAGCAAATCAGTCAACCTCTGAAAGAATGGTTCAGTGGTTAGCACTACTGCCTCACAGCGCCAATGACCCAGGTTCAATTCGTCCCTCAAGTGACTGCCTGTGTGGAGTTTGCACATTCTCCCAGTGTCTGCGTGGGTTTCCGCCAAATGTTCTGGTTTCCTCCCACAGTCCAAAAATGCAGGATCATAGTGTAAGGGATGGATCTGGGTGGGATGCTTTTCGGAGGGTTGGTGTGGATTTGTTGGGCCGAATGTACTGTTTCCACACTGTAGGGGTTCCAAGGATTCGAAGCAGCAAAGAGCAAAATTGCAAGAGTGATAACTTAGCCACTAACTTGAGCAGTATCATTGGGTGCTTGTCTAGCAGAAGGAGGCTTGTGTCTTCTTCAGATCCCAGTAAACATTAGGAACCTTGTTCCAACCCGAAGCTAACCAAAAGTAACTTCAAAAGCTAGAAGTATTTAAAAAAAACAACACAGTAATACTAAATACATAAACAAAGATAAAGGTGCCATTGTCCCAGAGAACCATGGGACTGTTCTCTCACTAGAGAGACATGACTGCTTTTTGCTTAACCCAAGGGTAACCACACATCAGGCAGGGGGTGAGGTTGAGAAGGTGGGACCTTCACGATGATCTCAGAGGTTTGGGGGAATATTTGGATTGCAACTGTTTCCTCCCTTGGAGCACTTACATTTCCAGCACAGTCTTTAACTGCTCTAGCTTGGATTTCTTCTCCTCTATTTCACAGTCATTATGCTGGCCCAGTTCTGCTAGAAGCTCACGGGTGATGTCTAGAACTTCCTAAGAATAAAAAGCCAACAACTACAATTAGATTCAAGAATTCAAGAAAACACTAACACACCTCCATGAGAGCACTGATTAGCACTTGTCCCAACACGGCCTTTCATGCCGCTGAATGAAACTGAAGGGAGACTTAGAGGTTTATAATATTTTGACAGGTTGTGGTAAAGTAGATGAAGGAACGTTGTTCTCATTAACTGATGGCAAGGTAAAGGTAAAGCAGCCACAGTCCACAGGGCTGCTCGCTCATTAGAGACAGAGATGACTGGTGGTGATGAAATAATTCCATAGAGGCCAGTATCCCATCACCAAGTCACCTTTTGACAACAAGGTGCAGGGCTGGATGAACACAGCAGGCCAAGCAGCATCATAGGAGCAGAAAGGCTGACGTTTCGGGCCTAGACCCTTCATCAGAAAAGGGGGAGGGGAAGGGGGTTCCGAAATAAATAGGGAGAGAGTGGGAGGCGGATAGAAGATGGATAGAGGAGAGGATATGTGGAGAGTAAACCCCTTCCCCTCCCCCTTTTCTGATGAAAGGTCTAGGCCCGAAACGTCAGCCTTTCTGCTCCTATGATGCTGCTTGGCCTGCTGTGTTCATCCAGCCCTGCACCTTGTTGTCTCGGATTCTCCAGCATCTGCAGTTCCTACTATCTCTGACCAAGTCACCCTTTGTTTACACATGCACAGTATTTGACACTGGTCAGGCTTCCTCAGAGCTAGTTCCCAGAATGAACAGAGCCCCTGACACTCCTGTTTATATCTGTCAGCCAGTGCTCCCTAATTGGACCAGGTTAACTGCCCTAATCAGGCAACTCATATTCTATGAGGTCCTCCTGGCTGACCTCATTACAACTACTACAGGTGATTTAACCTGAGAGTCACCACACCTCAGGCAAGGGCAAGGTTGAGAAGGCAGGATCTTCATGGTAACCTGTGCTCTGCATTGCAAACCAGCTGTCTAGCCAACTTAGCTAAACAAACCACCCCTCCCCACCCCCCCTTCCCCGCAGCTGACACAAAGACTCGGGGACAGAGATTTAAGACAAGAGATGCTGGGGCATATGTCAGGAATATAATTTTTCACAAAGGGTGATAATTATTGGGAACTCATAGCAGAAGAGGAGCTGAATAATAATTTCAAAAAGAACCTGGATTGTCACTTAAGTGGATTAAACATTCAGTGCTGCATGAGATAACAAGGTGCAGAGCTGGATCAACGCAGCAGGCCAAGCAGCATCAGAGGAGCAGGAAGGCTGATGTTTCGGGCCTAGACCCTTCTTCATAAAAATTCAGTGCTGCATGGTTTGAGTCAAGGAACAGGACTGACTGCATTGCTCTAGAGCAAGCCAGCATGGACCTGTTTGTGCTTTAATGACTACACAATAGGTTAAAAGGACAGTTCGCTAAGAAAAAAGGATTTGCAAACCAAAATCAGGTATAGGGTGTTGCAGTGGCTGGACCACAAAAGGAAAGATTTGAAACTCACTGAACTACAGAATTATCTCATACCTGAAGCTGCTTTGGTTTCTTTAACTTTAGTTTGCCAGTCTTGTATCCTTCGTACTTTTCAAACAAGTCAAAGAATCTGCAATAAGAAGTTTTGGCATATTTGAAAACAAAGGTGAAAGATGGTCAGAAGTGAACTTAAAGCCTTGCAAATATTTCAGCGAAGTTCACAGAATTTAAACTTATGGAAGCTACCTAATTTCAAATTTTCTCCTTATACCCAAGGAATTTAACAACTGCTATTAAAATCTGTCTTAAAGTTGCTAAAAGCCTACAAATAAACTTGATAAATCAAAACAGCCATTTGATAGTACAGAACTTGAGTAACACTGAAAAAAAACACATTTTGTTGAAATCTTTTTCATCTTGACATCTTGCAATGGCATATGATGACTGATAGCTGACTGTCAGGTTTTGTTCATATTTCAAACCCAGCTGCCTAATTCCAACTCTTTAACAGAATAGATGAGATTTGCTGGTTCGTTTTTCGGTGCAATGCTCTGACAAATCAGTCAACCTGCTCAGTTTGAAATTTAAACAAAGCCTGGCAGTTAACTTTCAATCAGCATTAATGGGTACTTTCTCCATGGGAATACCCGAGTCCAAATGACAACCAACCAATCAGCACTCTCCTTCCATGCAGTAAACGTTAGCTTTCTCCTTGATTAGGTACAATTTTTCGAAATGTCCTGATGCGAAATAAGGTGTCTGATTTATCTGTATTCTAAGATGATTTATTTTAGAGCTTGGATTTGAGCTAGTGGCTTGTCGGTTTCTGAAGCGGTTTAATGACTAACGTAATTATTTCTGTAGCCCTGTTGATTTCTTGTAAAAACAGAGAAAACATTCCTGGAGAGTATTAGGGATCTGTTTTCATTGTGTTACAGACTAGACCAAACCCCCTTCAAATAAACCAAGGAGATAGCCCAGACCCTAATTTGTATCTTATTTAAAGGCAAGTGTAAGGTGCCATGTTCCAGATGTAATTCAATTGGTTACACTACTTGGCGTTAAGCAAAACACACTTTATTTTAACTGTAGGATAAGAATACAAACAAAAGGAAGAATTGGTATAACTTAAACTCTTTGAAAAACTTAACAGAATAATAGATTATTCAGCTACTAAACAGCAACTGTCCCAATACAGTTACATTCTATAAATACACCCCTGACAAAGTCAGTAAAACAGATTGTCTCACATGCAATTCTGGAAGGAGGAAAAGAACCCAAGCTTTTAGCTGTAATTGAGAGAGAGAGAGCCGTAGCAGCTTCCACAACCAGCTTCAAACACCCCAACAGCTGCTGAAAGCTAAACTAAAACCATGGTTCTGTAGGAGCCTGACCCCACCCATTCATGTTGCTTCTATTGATCCAACTTTTAAAAAGCCCCAAGGCCTCATAAGATGTCTCTCCAAGCCAATGAAGTAAACAAGTCTACACATATGGCTCAAAACCTTTCAAAAAAGCAACACAGGACAAAATAAATCTCTTAAAGCCATAGTATCATCACGATTGGAAGCGTTTACATGAGCACAGTAAACAATTGTGCATTAAGCTTTCAGATTAAAAAGGTCAGAGATTAATTTTTATTCTTTAGTTAAGAAAAACACCTATAGCTCAGAAAAGCATTTGTGATTTCATTTTGGAGGTTTGCAGAAATCTTGGCTAAAGCTGGACTTGCCAGTAATCCACTGGAGGGAGCTATACCAGTTTTTAAGATTATGACAAAGGCTTCAGTCTTGACCACAACAACAAACGGGCTTAGATACACCTCCATTTCGCACGCAGGCAAACACAAAACTCCGTACCATTTAGCTTCTAGTTTTACCTCATTTTGTAACATTTTATCAGAAAGTTAAAAAGAAAATAAAGTTTGGGAAGTAATGATTTAACAACTATATTAAAGTCTTAATAGCACTGACTAACATTCTTGACTCTGAGCCAGAAAGTTATAGGTTCAAGTCATACTTCAGAGACTTGAACAGAAGTCCAGACCAACACCACAGTCTAATAGTGAGGGAGGGTCGCACAATTCTAAGTGTCTTTAGGATGAGCCATTAAACTAAGGTCTCAGCTGCCCACTAAGGCAAATATAAAATGTCCCGTAGCACTGTTTCAAAGAAAAGCAGGCGAGTTTGCCCCAGAGACCTGACCAATATATGTTCCTCAATCAACATCGTTTTTGAAATAGATAACTTGGTAATTATCACATTGCTGTTTATAGCAGATTGCTTTGTGAAAATTGGCTGGCATGTTTCCTACATTTTCGCACTTCAGGAGTATTTCATTGGCTGTAAAATTATTTAGCTTGTGACACAGAAAGGTGCTGTAGAAAAACAGATCATTCTTTTACAGTAACAGCTGCACTGGAGAAATTCCCTAAAAACTGCAGACAACTTTGCGAGGTCTTAAAATGGACATTGTCCAAGTATTAAGTTTCACACTAAATTTGCACAGTCTAAATTCAAAATCCAAGAGGTTAAGATTACTATTTGTCAGATTATCAATATTAAGTCAGATGTTTTCCTTTTGGTTTAGCCAGTAACAAAATCAATTTGTAAAATTGCTTGTAGTAAACAATAATGAATGGGTCCTGTTCTGGCCGAGTAGAAAACTGACGCCACTCAATCTAGTCACTTTTGGTACATATCTGCTCATCTGTTCCAAATTACAAAGGAATTGCAAAGGTAAGTACAAAGGTAGGTAACGGCCCACCCTTCCAATGCTTACAATTCTCCGGTCACAGTCTTTTTTTTCTCCACTGGACTATGCAGAAGCCATCCCAGGCTGTCATTCAATGTCTGAAGTGCTCACCGAGCAAGACAAAGTACGAAGACAAATGTGATCTAACTGGTGCACAGAGTAATAGAGTCATATAGCATGGATTCAGACTCTTTGGTCCAACAAGTTCATACTGACCATCTTCCCAAACTAAACTAGCTCCAGCTGTCTGTGCTTGGCCCATATCCTTTCAAACATTTCTTACTCGTGTATTTATCCAAATGTCTTTTAATCATTGTAACTGTGCCTGCATCCACCACTTCCTCTGGCAGTTCATTCCACACATGAACCACTGTGTAAAAACGTTGCCCCTCATGTCCTTTTCAACACTTTCTCCTCTCACCTTAAAAATATGTCACCTAGTTCTGAACTCTCCCACCCTACAGAAAGGACCCTGGTCATTCACCTTATCTATGCCCCTCATGATTTTATAAACCTCTATAAAAAGTCACCCCTCAACCTCTTAAGCTCCAGTGACAAAAAAAAAGTCCCAGCCTTTCCAGTCTGTTTTTATGTCTCAAACTCTCCATTCCCAGCAACATCCTGGTAAATCTTTTCTGAACCCTCTTCAGTTTAATAATATCCTTCCTATGACAGGGCGACCAGAACAGCACACAATACTCCAGAATAGGTCTCATCTATGTCCTGTACAACCTCAACATGAAATTCCAACTCCTATACTCAATGGACTGAGTGATAAAGGCAAGTGCGCTAAATGCCTTCTTAACCACCCAGTCTACCTGTGACATAAGTTTCTACAACACTATCCAGGGCCCTACCATTAATTGTAGAAGTCCTGCCCTTGTTTGTTTTAACAAAATGCAATATCATATTTATCTATCTGCCACTCTTCAGCCCATTGACTCAATTGATCAAGATCTCTTTGTAATCTTAGCTTCAACAAAAGCCTGTGATTTATACTCCACTGCTTTAGCAACATGGCTCAATATTCAGCTTGCTTTGTTGCTATAGGTGAATGATTACAGGTAATGTCCGCTATCACTCCAAAATTACTTGCATCCTCCACCATAGGTAGTTCACCGCTTCTTATTTTCACCTTATGCAAAAAAGCAAGGCATTTATCTTATTTGTGTTGATCCAAGAACCTTGCTCACTTCAGGATGATTTTGTGTCAATTAATTACCCGTGAATACTGACAGTAATGGATATTTTTCAATCACGGTATTGCAATTTCCTTGTACTCCAACCTTGTTATAGATAGTGTTCTGACTATTTGACTTGTTAAACAAAAATTCAATTTGCATAGCCTTATCTGATCATTCTTATTGTCAGGAAATCATAGTCTTCACTTTGTACACCAAGTTCTCACTAACACAACAGCAGAGAGATTTTATTCATGTTTGGGAGGTCAGGGATCCTGGGACAGGGCCTGTATCCTGAATGCGCTTTGCTGTGACTTGCCTGGCCACTATAAAGGATCAACCAGGTACTTCAGACTATGGTTATTGAAGCCCAGGAAGAGAGGCATTTCAGAGAAAGTTTGAGTTTAACATTCATTGTCTTTTTTCCTGGTGCTACCAGATTTATTGAATTACAAGTCAATTTCCATAGTGTGTTTAGGAACTTATGACTAGTCCTCTATAACAGGACTGAGGAGCAGATGTAGGCCATGTGGCCAATCTAGCCAAGCCTAGTATTCAATAAACTCAAGCTGATCTGATTTTGTACTCAACACATCCCTCTCTGCTACCCACCTCCCACAACCCTGAATTCCTTTGTCCATCAAAAAGTTATCTAACTCTACCTTGAATAAATTCAATCACCCAGCCTTCACCGCTTTCTCAGGAAGAGAACTCTGCAGACTAACCAACCTGTGAAAGAAAACATTTTTCTTCATCTGTAGTTCAAACCTCTCCTACACGGGAAAACACCCTCTGTCAAGTCACCTCAGAATTTTATGTTTCAATAAGAGCACCTCACATTCTTCTATACTCCAATAAATGTTGGCCCAACACGTTCAACTTTTCTTTATAAGATTTAATCCTGCATCTCAGGAATTAATCAAGTGAAACTTCTCTGGACTGCTTCTAGTGCAAATATATCCTTTTTTCAAATAAGATCAAGCAGTATTCCAGGCATTGTCTCACCGAATTATTGTACAGATATAGTAAGATTTTCCTCTTACGTTCTAGCCCCTTCAAAATAAATACCAACATTCCATTTGCCTTCTCTTGCTATTCCTGAAAAGAAATGTTTTGTATTCATATATGACATAATGCATATTAATACACCACCAATTTGCATATAGCTAGAGGAGCTCATGGCTCCCAAATAAGACAAATATCATCAGCCCAAACATCCTCAGCTTCGGAGTGACCTGGCACCTTTTCAGAGCTGGCCCAACTCCCCACCAGGCTCTGGCCTGAACAAACTACCAAGGCACTCTTTCCTTCTCTACCTCAGAATTCCTATTTAAATAGCGTACTGTTTGTCTATTCTTTCTGCCAAAATGGATAAGTTCACATTTTCCCATCATACTCCAGCTCCTAATTTTTGTCTCATCATTTCACCAATCTATATCCCAGTGCGGACTCTCTACTTCCTCGTTAAACTTACCTTCTTACGTGTCTTGGTGTCATTTGCAAACTTACCTACCATATATTCAATCTGCATAGAATCACGACCATCACATTACTAGAACCTAAACAATTACTTTTTTTTAAAAAACTATATTTGCTGGGACACCAGGAAAACTACCCAAATGAAAGCAAAATACTGCAAATGTTGCAATCTGAAATAATCACAAAGTGACAGAGAAACACAGCAAGTTTGGCACCATCTGAACAATTCCAGAAAGAGTCTGAAAATGTTAACTGTTTCTCTCTCCACAGATGCTGCCAAACCTGTTGAGTTTCTCCAACACTTTGTTTTCATTTAGGAAAACTATCCAGTTCTTCATATTATTCCACAGGGCCTCAGCAACCATCATTACAAGCAAAAAAGTGTCAGATGGCAGCTTGAAGCTATTGACTTATGAGGTGCAACCTAAACATCATCTTGTAGTCTAAGCCTAGACTGTGCAAAGTTCTTTGGTTTTTATGCACAATCTTCTGACTCAGAAATAAAAGCATTACCGAGTGAGCTAGAGTTGACACTCATCATTGCTCAGAAGACAGTGTTTTCGTTTTCTTTCACACAACACCTATGTGGCCTCCTCCAGTCCCACAACCCTTGAAGATCTCTGCACTGGTCCATTCTAGTTTGTTGCTCCTTCTCAAATTTCCTTGCTCCACCACTGTCTTCAGCCATTAATGTTCAAGCTTGGGAATCCCCTCCCTAAAGTTCCTTCTGTCCTCCTTTAAGAAACTCATTTAAAATCATATTCTTTGACCAAGCCATCCTAATATTGCCTTTTGTGGCTTGATGGCAAGTGCTCCTGTGGATCAATGCAAAAAATTTTACTATGTTAAAAGCACAATATAAATGGTTTTCTGTTGAGCAGCAGAGTGCATTTCACGTGTAAGTTCACAGCATGTTTCACTGCAATAAAAAAAGTCACTTTGCTAATTTCTCAGTTGGTAGCAAAAAGTATTTTCGGGATTATTTCATGGTAATACCTGTCATTAGAGAAATCACCAAATTAAATTACTTTAATTGTAAGGAGGAAACTATTCCCAGAAACTAAAGGTTGTATTTGTTGGGTTAAAGCAGCAGTTGACAGCAGCTGAGGCTCGAGTCAGGTTTAATTGCCTGCATACATGAGGAGTCACAGTTTTGTCAAAGTTTCAAAAAAATCACTGGCAATCAGGCAGAAAAGACTGAACATTATGCCCTATAGACATGTACAGAAATCACAGTGTACGCAACAGTTATAACCTGGCCTCACTTCAGATTTAGAATCTGACATTCTGTCATACCAACTCAGTGCTTGCAAGCCAGCATAATTATTGGCATTGATTCACATCAGATTTGAAAAGGGAATGTAGGCAAATCAGCAGCTAGTAGATCTGACTCCAGACATGATTCAACCACATTCATGTAAACATAATGTGAGACGTTTGGACACACAACAGCCAAAATCAAATTTGGTGGTAGTATTAACCTATTGAACACTACACAGCACTTGCAACATTAACTGCTGACATGGAACAGCAAACTGACAATAAATGACGATTGAACTTGCAGTTATACAAGTCTTCTCACAATTTGCATGCGTTCAAAAGCTCTTTACAGCCAACAAGATACGTTCTGATGTAATGAAGAGTTGTGATGTAGGAAGCACAACATCCAATTTGCACAAAGATTGGTCTCCCATCCAGGTAATCTGCTGTAGTGCTGTCAGTTGAGGCAAAAGTTCGCAATGACACACAGGAATTTGCTTCTGAACTAATGCAGGGAAACTTTTTGACCAGAATATAAATGGCACCTCGATTTAACATCGTGAAAGAAAAATGGTGCTGACAGTGCAACACTCCCCAAGTACTACAGCTCAGATACACTTCTGGTGTAAGATCATAAGAAATAGGAACAGGAGTAGGCTGTTTGGCACCTCGAGTCTGCTGAGTCATTCAATAGGATCAAAGGTGATCCAACACTCCTCACATCCACTTTCCTGCCCGTTCCCCATCGTCTATGATTTCCCAAATGATCAATAACATATCCATCTGAGCCTTAAATAGAAACAAGGACTCTGCTCTCACACTCTCTATGGCTGGGTGCTCCAAAGACTCTCAACCTTCAGAGAAGAAATTCCTGCTCATTTCAGTCTCAAATTGCTGCCCCTTTTTTATAATATTCAGTCACAGGATGAGGGCATCACTGGTTAGGCCAGCATTTACTGCCCAGCGGGCAGTTAAGAGTCAACCACTCTCCTGTGGGTCTGGAGTCACATGTAGATCAGACCAGGTAAGGACGGCAGTTTCCCTCCCGAAAGAAAATCTGTGAACCAGATGGGTTTTTCTGACAATCAACAATGGATTCATGGTCATCATTAGGCTCAGATTATTATTGAATTCAAATGCCATCTGCCATGGCAGGATTTGAACTCAAGACTCCAGAACATTACCTGGATCTCTGGATTAATGGTCAGTGATTACACCACTAGGTCATCGCCTCCCTGTCTTAATGCTGAGACTATGCCCTCTGGTCCTAGACTCTCCCACGATGGGAAACATAAGTCCCTGAAGGATCTTATATATTTCAATGAAACTACCTCCCATTTTTCTAAACTTCAATGAGTAGATTCCCAACCTGTTTAGCCTTTGCTCGTAAGACAATCCCTCCATACCAGGGCTCATCCTGGTGCACCTTCTGTAAACTGTCTCCAATGAAATATATTTTCTTAAATAAGGGAACTAAAAATGTTCACACTATTCCAGCTACGGTCTCACCTGTACCTTGTACAGTTGCAGTAATGTGCTCTAATCTCTGTAGTGAAACTCAAACACACAATCTTCTTACTCACACAGAAGAATCCCCGAGCAATGATTAGAAAATAATGCACTGAAAGTCACTGACTGGGCAGAGACGGGTTGATGACACAATACACAGAGTGACCTGTTACTCCCCCTCCTCCAAAAACAAATCTTTACAACACTTGCAAGTTAATTTTCACTAACTTTGGATGCATCACTTCCATCTTCATCTTTTGTTTTGGGGTTCGGTCACCGTGTCGAATGATTGCAATAACACAGCGCAGTTCCATCCTGTGAAACACACAAGAAAATAGGTTTACTTTAATCAGAACATAAAAAGCAAAACGCTGGAAACAAGAGCAGCAGGTCAGAAAGGGGAGGGATTGAGGGGAAGGTACACGTTAGGAACAGTAAAACAGAAAGGACAGGCAGAGACAGGTAAATGAACATGATGGTACTAATGGGCTGAAGAAGTGTGTTTACTTCAATGCAAGGAGTATTATAGGCAAGGCAGATAAAGCTTAGAACCTGGATCAGTACATGGGACTATGATGTTGTGGCCATTACAGAGACTTGGTTGAGATTGGGACAGGACTGGTTGCTCAATGCTCCAGGTTTCATTGTATCATCTAAAACAAAGAGGAAGGTAAAAGAGGTGGAGGAGTTGCATTACTGATCAGGGAGAATGTTACATCTGCGCTCAGAAAGGACATGCTGGAGAGCTCATCCACTGAGGCACTATAGGGAGAGCTCAAAAACAAGATGGGTGCAATTACTCTGGTAGGACTCTGGTACCAAAAGGACCCCCCAACAGTCACTGAGACATTGAGGAACAAATATGTAGGCAGATTATGGAAAAATGCAATAAAAACAGAGTTGTCATAGTGGGTGACTTTAACTTCTCCAATATTGACTGGGACTTCCTTAGAGCAAGAGGCTTAGATGGGGTAGAATTTATTAAGTGCATCCAAGAGGGTTTCTTGAAACAGTATGTGAATAGTCCAACTACAGTTGGGGCGGGGGGGTGCATACTGGATCTTGTACTGATTAAGGATGACTGACCTTTCAGTGGGATAGCATTTTGGAAACAGTGACTACAACTCCTTATGTTTTAAGATAGCAATGAGTAAGGGTAAGTCAGAATCTTGTGGTAAGGTACTAAATTGGGGGAGGGCAAATTACATCAGTACCAGGCAGGAGCTAGGGAGTGTTAATTGGGAGGATGTGTTATCAGGCAAGTCCACACTTGACATGTGGGAATTGTTTAAAGACCTGCTGATGAGAGTTCAGGACTAGTATGTTCCAATAAGGAGGAAGGACAAGGATGGCAAGGTAAGGACCCTTGGATAACAAGGGAAGTTATGATAGTCAAAAGGGAAAAAAAAAGCAGCACATGTAAGGTTTAGGAAGCTAAAATCAGAAGGGACCATGAAAAATGTAAAGAAAGCAGGAAAGAACTCAAGCAGGGAATTAGGAGAGCAAGAAAGGGCCATGAATGACCTTGGCAAGTCAGGTTAAAGAGAATTCCAAGGCATTCTATACATACATTAAAAACAAGAGGATAACTAGGGAGAAGGTAGGGCTACTCAAGGATAAAGGAGGGAGCTTGTGCTTGGAGGCAGAGGATGTGGGTGAGATCCTAAATGAGTACATTGTGTCGGTATTCACCCTGGAGAAGGACATAGAGGATAGTGAGATGTGTGTGCAACATGCTAATATGCTACGGCATTTTGAGACTAAGAAAGAAGTGGTATTGGGTCTCTTGAAGAGCATTAAGGTGGGTAAGTCCCCAGGGCCCAATGATATCTACCCTAGGTTATTGAGACAGGCAAGAGAGGAGATTGCAGGAGCCTTGACCAAGATCTTCGTATCCTCATTAGCCACTGGACAGGTCCCAGAGGACTGGCGAGTAGCTCATGTTGCTCCTCTATTCAAGAAGGGAAATAGGGATAATCCAGGAAACTATAGACTGGCGAGTCTCACATCGGTGGTCAGGAAGTTATTACAAAGAATTGTTAGGGATAGGATTTACGCACATTTGGAAAGGCATGGCCTAATTAGGGACAGTCAGCATGGCTTTGTGCAGGACAAGTCATGCCTTACTAACTTAACTGAATTTTTCCAGGAGGTGACAAAAGTGATCAATGAGGATAGAGCAGTCGATGTTGTCGACTGGATTTTAGTAAGGCTTCCGACAAGATCCCTCAGGGTTGGTTCATCCAGAAGATTAAGACACATGGGATCCATGATGTTTTGGCCATAGAAGGCAGAGGGTAGTGGTGGAAGGTTGTTTATCAGGATGGAGGTCCATGACTAGTGGTATTCCGCAGGGATCCTTACTGGACCTCTGCTGTTTGTGATATATATAAATGACTAGGATTAAAATGCAGATGGTTGGTTTGTAAGTCTACAGATGATACAAAGATCGGCGGAGTTGTGGATAGTATAGAAGGTTGTCAAAGAATAGAGCGGGATATAGATTAGTTGCAGATATGGGCAGAGAAATGGCAGATGGAGTTTAATCCGGGTAAATGTGAGGTGCTGCACTTTGGCAGATCAAACGTTAAGGAAGCGTATACAGTTAATGGCAGGACCCTGAACAGCATTGATGTACAGAGGGATCTTGGGGCTCAAGTCCATAGCTCCCTGAAAGTGGCCACGCAAGTAGATGGGTTGGTGAAGATGATGTATGGCATGCTTGTCTTTATTGGTCAGGGAATTGAGTACGAGAGTCAGGAGGTCATATTGCAGCTTTACAAGACTTTGGTTAGGCCACATTTAGAGTACTGTGCTCAATTCTGGTCAACACATTACAGGAAGACTTCAGAGAGGGTACAGAAGAGATTTACCTGGATTAGACGGTATGAGCTATAAGGAGAGGCTAGAAAAACACGGGTTGTTTTCTCTGGGGTGGCAGAGGCTGAGGGGAAACTTGATAGAAATCTACAGAATTATGAGATGCACAGATAGGATTGACGGTTAGAATCTTCTTGCCAGAGTTGAAATATCTAAAACTAGGGCTATGCATTTTAGGTGAGGGGGGTGGGGGGGGGGGGTAGGAATGTTCAAAGGAGATGTAAGGGGCAAGTGTTTTACACAGAGTGGTAGGAGTGTGGAACACACTGCCAAGGATCGTGGTGGAGGCAGATATGATAGGGGCATTTAAGAGACTATTCGATAAGCACATGAACATGCAAAGAATGGAGGGATATGGACCAAGGGCAGGCAGAATGGATTAGTTTAGTTTGGCTTCATGCTTGGCACAACATCGTGGGCCGAAGGCCCCATTACTGTGCTGTACAGTTCGAGATTCTATGTTCAAAAATTAAAAAGACCTTCAAAGAATACAAATTCATTGAATAAGTCAGAGTACTCTGGTGCAGAGCAGTAATGCCGCATGCTTAGTGAAAGGGGAGTTTATTGAAAAGGGATGGTAGTGCTTTTTTCCCTTTTCTTTCTCACCCCAAGTTGGAAAGAGGGGTGAAATATTCAAGAATGACACTGCAAAGAAAACAGTGCTCAAAGTGTGACTGGAAGGCGACTGGCAGCCTTGGTAAGTAAGACCTTGAAAGTATCACTAATATCACAACTTTTTAAGTAAGAATTGTCAGTATCTGTGTGTTGGGTGTCAACAGCTTGGCGGGGTGGGGGGGGGCAGGTAACAAGATGGAAATGAAAGACAGAAAAATTAAAAAGTGCAAGGCAGAGGAAACAGGAGCTATCAGCAAATTAGGCTGTAGTTCAAAAAAAAGTGCAAAAAACGTCTAAAAAGGTATTCATCCAAATGTACAGAGCTTTCGCAATAAGACCGACGAATAAATAGCATAAATAGTTGTAAACAGGTACAATGTGATGTGATTACAGAGTCATGGCTCTGGGGTGACTGAACATCCAAAGAGTATTCAATCTTCAGGAAGAATATTCAGAAAAGCAAAAAAAAAAAGGTGGAGAGTGGTGTTGCTACTGAAATATTAAATCAGTGCAATAGTGAGAAACCATTATGGCATAGGATATCTAGTTGTGTCATCAGTCGGGGTGGAGCTAAGAAGTAATAAGGGGCAGAAATTATTCGTGGGAGATCTCTATAGACTTCCAAACAGTAATCAGCACCCTTGTTGCTATAGTAATTCCAGGTGATATTAATCTACATGCATATTGGGCAAATCACATTAGTAATACTGCGGCAGAGAATTCTTAGAATGTGTAAAGATGTGATTTTAGACCAATAAACTGAGGTATCAACAAGTAGTCTAACCCAAAACTAGCGTCATAACTCTAAACAAAGTAAAGAAAGGTATGAGGGGTGAATTGGCTGTTATGTACTAGGTAACTTCAGTAAACAGCATGACAGTGGATAGGCAACAGTTAATATTTAAGGAACGACATGTTATACATTCCTTGCAAGTGAAAGAACGCAACTGGAAAAGCAGCCCAAACATGACTAACAAAGGAGGGGAAAATTAAAGTATGAGAGTAAACTTGCAAGGGTTTTCAGTATATAAAAACTATTTTAGTTCTGCTTCAAAGAATAACATTCAAAAAAACTTCCCAGATATGTTAGAGAAGCAAAGATTTATTGGGAAAGAGGGACTGAAAAGGAACTAGTGCTAGTTAAAATAAAGTGTTGAAGAAATTAACAGGTCTGAAAGCTGACAACTGCCTATGGCCTACGGCCTGATAACCCACACACCAGGATGCTAAAAGGAGGTGGCTATAAAAATTGCTGGTTGTCATCTTGCAAAATTTTGTAGATTTTAGAGACCTGACAGATTGTAATCCCATTATTTAACAAAGAGGGAGGGGAAAAAAAAACAGAAATTACTGAGTGATTAGGCTAATATCAGCAGAAGAGGCCTAATGAACTTCTCCTGCTCCTAACATGTATTCTTGTATGCTCCAGATCTAAACAACTCCATGTAAAAGTAACAGTTACCTCCGATTCTTTTGCCAGTCAATTCAATATCTGTCCCCCGGTTAGTGAGCCTTCTGCCATGGAATGCAGCTTCTTATTATCTACTCCATCAAAGTAACTCATGATTTTGGAACACTCTTATTACATTTCCCCTTAGATTTCTCTGAACAGAGAAGGAAAAACAACCCCGATATCAAGGCGGATGACATAACTGAAGTCGCTCATCCCTGGTACCATTCTTGCTAAATATATCTCATTCCTAAAATCAAGCAAGTTAAGCAAAAGTTTAAACTGACACCTGACCTCAGTTTTTCGGACCAGAATCTCTCTTGAAAGTGCTGAGGGTTTTGAGAGTTTTAACTTACATAGTTCCTGAAGTAGTTGGAACAATGGGAATATCTTCAGCTTCTGTGGGTATGGACCACGGAATCTGCAACTGAGGAGCGAGCTCCCGCATAATTATATTACTGCAAAGAAAGACAAATTCCATTCAAACTAATTTCTTCTATACAGTAATACAACACGTAAAATATATAAATTCTTAAACAAAGAAAATCAAAATACAAGAAACACACAGCTCCCCATAAGAGAGAGAGAAACAAGTTAAGGTTTTGGGATTGCAAATAAAGTTTCAAATCAAGATTCTTTCTGATAATATTTCAGAAGGTATCAGAAATTATCAGAAATATTTTCAGACACAGATGGATTTGTGTATTTTCAAATTTCAAGTATTTCTAGTTTTGCTCATCACTGTTCTGTGAAATTAAAAATTAAACCCTCCCCTTTTTAATACCGATGACTGCTCCTATCCTGCAATGTTAACAGTGAACATCAGCATAAGATAGTTAAAAATTAAAAACTATGTCATAGAGAAATTAAATAGTTGGCTCACAGTAAAAGATAATCGGACAGCAGAAAGAGTTGATTTGATTTCGAAGTTCAAACAATGTGAATCATTCTCTAGGGAATTCAAATCCTGCAGCATGCAAGGAAGCTACTTCTTCAGATTTTAAATTAGATCTCCATTATTTTGAATAGCTAAATAAATAACTTTTCTTTTCTCTTAAGCATACAGATACTGTGGTTTAATATTTTGAGAATCATTAAAAGCAATGTATGCATCAGACAAGAGAGGTTACACATCGGAGATATTAGACCAAACATGAATAATGACAGAGTTGGGTACCGTCAATTAATCATGTTTCCTCCTATGGGTTATAATGTACAGTTTCTTTGTATATTAAAAGTCTTGTGTCTGTAAATTTGCACCTCAATATTGCATTATATTGAACATTCAAATTATTTGCTGCACCTCATTAAGGGACATTTTGGGTTAGCTACAATTACTATTCAATACTTACTAATAGACACCATTGGTTAAGTTGCAATATTCGTCTGTGTTAACTACAGCCACCATGGCTCATTTAACATATGGGAAGTGATTTCTCATTTACGAAATGTACTTTCAACTTTCTATTTGTAATTTTTCTTCTCTTTTAGTTAAAACAAACCCCCTCCCCCTGCAGATGCCAGGTCACAGGCTACTCCATTGAGCACAGCCAAGGCAACAACCTACCACTTTCCAGGCAATTGCAGTCTTGACATTTAATCTAGCTTCTCTGCCTCACCCAGTCTCATCCTGTAGCTATGCTGGCGTCTTCTATACCACAATAACCCATTGATAGATGGTAAAACCAGCATGATCCTTTCAGGATAAATGTTACACTTCTATATTTTAAAAGCATGTTCTTTGATACACCAGAATGGTGCTCAAAAGTAGACTTATCTGATATATACCCTAGGATTTTCGCACAGTCATCATAGTATTTCATGGAGTTTTTCACAAAGCTGAATCCATTGACGTCGCAAACATAAGAATGCCCATTTGCACGCAGCAGATCAAAACCACAAACTGTTTGCTACAAAAACAAAACATGTAAAGAACATAAATCAACACAGGCTGCCCTGTATCGGTAGAAATCTAACAAGCATGTAGTCCCAATAATAAATCAAAAACTCGTTCAGCACGATGAAACGAAGTTTTCTTTTTTAAAAGAATCTCTTTCCCTCTCCTCATCTCCCAAAGGTGTGTGTGTCTTTCTGGAATCTACAGGTTATTGTAACTGTCACTTCAATGTATCTTCTAATAGTGTGGCTGGCTATTCAGCTGCAGATGTCTTGCAAATAGCACTTTCTCCATGCCTAACACAGTCACAATATCCAGCAGTGCTGACCGGATAGTTACCAGGAGTGCGAACCCTGGCTGATATCCTTCACATAGCCTCAGGGCACCAAGGAAAATCTGCATGTTTCCTAATTAGAGATAGTAGGAACTGCAGATGCTGGAGAATCCGAGACAACAAGGTGCAGGCTGGATGAACACAGCAGGCCAAGCAGCATCATAGGAGCAGAAAGGCTGACATTTCGGGCCTAGACCCTTCATCAGAAAAGGGGGAGGGGAAGGGGGTTCCGAAATAAATAGGGAGAGAGTGGGAGGTGGAAAGAAGATGGATAGAGGAGAGGATAGGTGGAGAGGAAACAAACAGGTCGAAGAGGCGGGGATGGGGCTAGTAAAGGTGAGTGTAGGTGGGGAGTTAGGGAGGGGATAGGTCAGCCCAGGGAGGACGGACAGGTCAAGGGGGCGGGATGAGGTTAGTCGGTAGGAGATGGAGGTGCGGCTTGAAGTGGGAGGAGGGGATAGGTGGGAGGAAGAACAGGTTAGGGTGGCGGGGACGAGCTGGACTGGTTTTGGGATGCGGTAGGGGGAGGGGAGATTTTGAAGCTTGTGAAATCCACATTGATACCATTGGGCTGCAGGGTTCCCAAGCGGAATATGAGTTGCTGTTCCTGCAACCTTCGGGTGGCATCGTTGTGGCACTGCAGGAGGCCCAGGATGGACATGTCGTCTGAGGAATGGGAGGGGGAGTTGAAATGGTTCGCGACAGGGAGGTGCAGTTGTTTGTTGCGAACCGAGCGTAGGTGTTCTGCAAAGCGGTCCCCGAGCCTCCGCAGCCACACCTCCATCTCCTACCGACTAACCTCATCCCGCCCCCTTGACCTGTCCGTCCTCCCTGGACTGACCTATCCCCTCCCTAACTCCCCACCTACACTCACCTTTACTGGCCCCATCCCCGCCTCTTCGACATGTTTGCTTCCTCTCCACCTATCCTCTCCTCTATAAATTTCTATCCGCCTCCCACTCTCCCCCTATTTATTTCAGAACCCCCTTCCCCTCCCCCTTTTCTGATGAAGGGTCAAGGCCCGAAACGTCAGCCTTTCTGCTCCTATGATGCTGCTTGGCCTGCTGTGTTCATCCAGCCCTGCACCTTGTTGTCTCTGTTTCCTAATTAGAAAGATTTTGCAAAGAGCTTTATAAGATGATAGCAAAAAAGATGACCAACAAACAGAAAGCGGGAAGGCTAGCAAGGGTGCAATAGTGAGGTTGAAGGATTCTTGTGAAGCATCTGAAAGCCTAGAGGGATGTGGCAATGTGGTGAAATAGGAGTGATAGTGCAAAGTGCACAAGCAATATGGCCAAAAAAAGAGAAAAAAATGCATACTGCACTAACATGTAAATGATCTTGAAAATTCATTGACAACATTTGAAAGACAAAAGCCACGTTTCAAAACATTTCTGCAGTTTATTCTACTTAAACATTCTAAACACAGCAGCATGCATATTTTGGATCATTGACTGGATACTGCTTCACTTTTGAGGATTTATAACCAACCTTAAAAGCTACGCTGACTTTCCTAGCAACTAGTTTTTCCATGGCAGTTAACATCACAGGATAACGTATCTCTTTTCCTTCACTGTCCCGTTCCACTTTCCCATCCAGAGCTGGTGATTTGCGTGCCTCTGCATGTGCATAGTCAGGACCAACAGTGTAAACCTGAAGTAAGAACAGTCTTACAGTTAATTTTTGATTTGCCTGCATGGCAAAAAAACTCATTTGCTTTCCTTCAACTCCTGCCTGTTCATCAACAGGTAACAGGTATCAGGTTATATTAACCATAGATTTCTCCACTAATAAAGGAAAATGTGGCAAGCTGGGAGTACAGGCTGGCCTTTCCAGGCACAAAAATAGTGGCTAACCCAATGATATGTACAGACAAATCCAGGTGGCCAGAAGCCTTAGTCCAAAAACATGTCTGGATCCCTAGGCAAAATCCAACAATGCATTCTGCTTCTGAAGTGTCAACCCTACAATATCTGAAAGAGGAGCTCTGCAGAAAGACCAAGTGGTTGATTAGCATTTTGCATTTAATGTTAATTATATTTTCATGCAGAAACAGCATCCAGAAATGTTGTCTTACATGTTATTTCATGTTTTGTTTAACCAAGAACAAGAAATGTACAATCTGAACATGACTGCATGGTGCTATAGTCATATCTCAGCTGGCCATTGTTCATATCTGTTCCTATAACTTGGCTGGGTTGTTGTCATTTTCTTCCTCGGTGGGGTGAGATTGTCCTTTCCCTACTCAATGCTGTGACCAGCTTTTGGGCAGGCCCAGACTGACTTTTAAGCTTCCTCAAGGTCACAGCACCCACTGCCTTCGGTGGATGCATTTCAGCGTACCTCATGGGGTGGATGGCATTGGAGTGTTTGGTAATGAGAATACATTACAACATAGAATTCTGTCTGAGTTACATATCTGATAAAATCAAATACCACAAACAAATCTTTTTGTTCTGTAAAAATTGATAAAATGAGACTTCTGTGGAGTTTCCCTCCCTTGAGCAACACAAAATTAAAAATGTACAGCAGTTTATAAAAGCAGAAATAGTACCTTTACATCCGTTCCATCTGTTGGCATGAACTCTTCATAGATGTAAGATCCAGTTTTACGCACGGTGCTTTCAGGGGAGTAAACACTGCTCCGACTTCCAATCTGAAAGAGTTGATAAGTCACAGTGTGAAGTAACACAACATTGCAGTGTAGAATGCTCTACTTGTGCGCAAAACAAAACATGCCAGAGACAAAGTGGAGCCATGTATCAAAGCTATTCTGATGTGGATTTCCATACAGGGATAAACAGATATTTCAGAGAAAACAGATGAAATATGTAAAACAAAAATTTTCAGACATAGCAAGACCAAATGTTTTTCAAGACAGATTTAGAGCAATTGCCTGAAAATATTAAATCGCTGGAAAGATGCTGGAGTGGCAGCATTAGCATTCCAGAACAACGCATCTAAAATGGGTCCAGGATTTTGTGACCAAACTTAACTCATTGTCTCACATTTTATGGTTTTATTTCAGATTTTTCTGAATTTTTATATTTATCTCCAGTACAATAGATCTCTCAGTACTATTTGTTCTAATTATTAATTCGGCTAAGTCATAGAAAGATAGCCAACATTTGAAGTATTCTTAAAGGGCTTACTCCCCCATTAAAATTTGAATTATAGAATCAGATATTAGTTCCATCACAGGAGGCCATTCAGCCTGCCAAAACTATGCCATCTTTCTGCGATAACAACTCAGCTAGTCCCATTCCTCCAACCCCTCATGTCATCATTGCTTTTCTTTGCCAATCACCTTAAATTTCACTCTCACTTGCCTTTCTTTCATATCTGTCATCATGGCTATTGCCAATGGAATAGTTTCTCACTATATACTCTGAAAACCCTTACTATTTTGAACACTTCTATAAAATCTGTTCTCAATCTTTACTTTCCCTAAAGAGGACAACTCCAGCCTATTCATTCAATCTCTCTTCCTAATAGAAGTCTCTCATGCCTGGAACCACTCTCAGATCGTTACTGCACTCCTTGCAAAGCCTTTCCATGCTCGCTAAAATGTCGTGTCCAAATTGAACACAGTCAGAAGTCACATGACACCAAGTGAAGCACTTGACTTGACGAAGGAGCAGCGCTCCAAAGCTTGTGGTTTCAAATAAAGTCAAATATAGTCTGCATGATAACCTGGTGTTGTGAGACTTCTGACTTTGTCCACCCCAGTACAACATCGGCACCTCAACAAATTGAGCACAATACTCCAGTTGAGGCCAAGCTGCTGTTTAACAAAGATTCACCACAATTTAACATAAATAATAGACTTGCCAGCAGAGGCAATTAGACCGATAGTGTTTATTTCAGTGAAAGAATCAGTATTGGTCTGATCAGAGTTATTCTGAAACCGTTCTTGCCAAGAACAAGACCTTCCTCAAATTATATCCTGGTCAACATTCACCCTCAAATTTTTTTTTTTTTTTTTTAAAACAACTTTGCATTTTATCCTTTTGCAGGGGCCATGCTAACCATTTCTGTACCATTCCAATGTTAGCATTTATCAGTTTCTTCTTTCCAGTAGTGTCACATTTCCATTACAGTGCTTTACCTTCGAGCTGGACAGCATCGCAGTTTAAATGTCTCACCTAAAGGACAGAACCTCTGATTCTCCTAATTACTGCATTGGAGTGAGCCCAGATTATGTGTTTCAAGCTGGATGGGGTTTGCCCTTTGATCTTAGGTCAGGAGTGTTGCTCTTTGAACAACACCAAGGTGGCAGATGTGCAACGACTATGAATACTCTCACAGTAGGAATGTTGCAAGGAGTAAGCAGGTTCAACAGGAACTTTCAAAGGAAATTGGATACATATTTAAAAAGAAGAAAATGTTATGGCTTTGGAAAATGAGCAGGCTTGTCGGACGAATTGGATTGCTCTTTCAATGAGCCAGCACACTCAGTGGGCTGAATGGTCTCTTCAGTGAATTATGTCTCTATGATAACACCATTTACTGCTGCATACTACTGTACCTTACGGAACAACCTCTGGCTGCCTCCCCCTGCTGACACAGGGTAGTAAATATACACATTATGGTCTTCCGCACTCACGGGTTTCTCAACAAAGGGTTTCTGGAAGATTTCACCATTTACTTCCACATGATCATCACCTTCCACCAGGCTGCATTCTGCAAATGAAGAAACAAGAAAATGTCTGACTCAGGGGCACGAGCTTTACTGTGCAGCAATGCAGCTTTTAATCAATTCATACACAAAACTGATGAGCTGGATGGCTCAATATTACTCCAGGCAGTGCCTTTACCCACCAGCAAGCTATGTTCTCATTTCAAGACTGTTTATCCCCTGTATTTTAACACTGTAGAATCATAAGAGCCATACAGCACGGAAACAGCCCCTTCGGTCCAACTCATTCATGTTGACCAGATATCCTAAACTAATTTAGTCCCATTTGCCAGCATTTGGCCCATATCCTGCCAAACCCTTCCTATTCACATACTCATTCTTTTATACAACCTTTATATCCTTTTACACAACACTCATACAACCTTTTAAATGTTGTAATTGTACCAGCGTCCACCATTTCTTCTGGCAGCTCATTCCACACACACAGTGATGAAAAATGTGAATTATATATTTTAATATGACTTTTTTTATGAATTTGCATTCCAAACTAGTGGCATATAGGTGTTGGCTTATTTTTGTGAAGGAGATTCAAGCATTTATTAAGGATTGGTCTTTCTTGGACCATGACTTTAACTGGGCCTCTGAAACTTCATGAAAATAAACAAACAATTTCAAAAGCCAGTCCTAATTTCACGGTGTAAAGACAGACTGCAGAAAAATGCACTACTAACCGTCAGGCCGGTCTGGATCACGATTCAACACTGCATAACGGGGAAGATCTATCCCTTCTTGTTGTAAAATCCGATAAACTTCTCTCCTGCACGGTAAAAGAATAACACCAATCAATACTAATATTTTAATCCAGAAAAACAATTGTAGGTAATTTACAAGATTCCAGCCACATTATTTCTCAATATTTACCATGTGCCAGTTCCTCAAAGCAGTCCTGGCAACATAAATAAGGCAAAGAACAAAATTCAGATAAAGCAACTTTCAGTTCTGGTTGTAATTCACAGTCTCAAATTTAAAAAAAAAACGCATAATTATGTGAACGTTAGTAAAGGACTAGGTTAAGCTCTGCTTTAGTGGTCTAGACAATGTAATAAATATTTGACTCTTACCATTCAGGTTTACACACGCTGGGCTAGGAACTCAGAACAAGTCCCAATCACCAGAATGGAAAGGAAAGTTGAAAGAGAGTGACACACTCATTTTACTCAAACAGTGCTGCGTACCCTAGGATTGTGAGGTCAGCATCATCATCTCGGAGGCATCAGCCCAAAATAAGCAACTTTATTTTCATGAGGGCATGTAAACAGTGATATGAATAAATAAGCGACAGATGAACGCTACTCATTAATGTGGACTCATTTTAAAAATTAAAACTGAACAAAATTTGTCAACAAATCAGCTAAGCACCCAATAAAAATTGTCCTCCAGGGCAAAGTACTGCTTATTTTCAAAACAAAAGGACTTCTGTGTTTCATGTTTGATTACTGACTTATTTTCTATCTGCACATATCAAAGTCTTCAGGGCTCAGCCTGAACAAAGACATCCAATGAAATGTGCATTTTTCATTAACGGAATGTAATGAACTGCCAACTTTCAGACATTAGTAGTATGTGCCAAAGATATATTACAATTTAATGCACAAATTCAACTGCAGCTTGAAGGACAGATCCATTTATCCAAATTCCATCAAACAACCATTTGTTATCAATGAGATTTACAACATCAGAAAAGCTTTGGGTAAAACAAATTAAATCAACCCGGATCTTTAAGTCATTTTCTGTTCCATTATAATCAAAGCGTGAGTGTGAAGAGATGAGGAATGTAGGATCAAAAAAATAGGCCATACAGCCCCCAAGGCCTAGGTGAATCAGAGTACAATTATCACAGGTTTTCTCTGCAAATTATTTTCCTTTACTTTTCTGATGAGAGGTTCATGTTGAGCTTAGCAGCAAGCAGTACAAAGACTCAAAATATCTCAGCCATATATATTAATTCTGTATCCGAGAGTCAGGGTGGGGAGCACAGAATGAGGATAACATGGCAAAATGTTATACTTTTACCAACATATAGGCTGTGCACATGAACCTCAGGCAGATGCAATAATGGTGTAGATGATGGAAAACGATGGTCTATATTTCCCCGCTTCAATTTGCAAATAGTGAGAGAAAATGGTAATGTTCTGACCAGTTAATAAAATTCTCTTCGCACTGGGTCCGGTCTGGTTTGGTGCCAATCACACGGCTTTTAATTCATTCAGCTATTTGAGGGAGGGGAATAGGAAACCATAATGCATTACATTATGATATTAGAGTGGGTCTTGGCTGAATTAATGAAGTCTGATAATGTTAGAGGTTGGTTCAGTACATAACTAATAATATCATGGTATAGATTGACTAAAGGCAATTCAAATTCAAAACAGATACCCCTAGATTTATGACACAATTTGAATAAGATCCGGTTTTATCTCCAAGCACATACCGGTCTTGGATGTAATATTGCATATTCAAGTCATTGATGAGAACTGGATTCCTGAGTTTAGCATAAGCTACTGCTTTATCCAAAGGAAAACCTAAAACAAAGAAAATGGGTATTAGCTCAAAATCTGTAACTTTTAACTCATTTATCCCAATCACCTATCCTAACTTCTACTCTTAAAAATGTAGAATCCTCATTTTATCCCAATCGTACCAACAAATGGATGCAATCCTATTCCATAGAGGTAATAAAATATAAGAAGTTTTTTAAAAATTCATTTATGGGATATGGTCAGTGCTGGCTAGGCCAGCACCAATTGCTCATCCCGAATTGCCCAGGGGATAACTAAGAGTCAACCACATTACTCAGAGTCTGGAACCTTATAGAGGCCAGATCAGGTAAGGATGGCAGATTTCCTTCCTGAAAGGTCATTATGTACCAGATGAGTTTTTACAACAACTGATGGGGGTTGTTGGTCCACGATTGGCTAGCTTTTCATTTTGGATTTTCTTATATTTAAGTTAAATTTCATCAAGTGCCATAATTCAAACCTAATTTCTCAGAACATTATAGTTCTGCATTATAGTCCAGTGACATTACCACTGTGTCACTATGTCCCCAAAGTGCTAATTTGCAATGAAAGACTTTGGCATAATTGCCAAGACTTTCGAAAGACTTTGGATTCATTCACTGTAAAGTAGTTTGTAAATATTCTAAGGTCATGAATGAGGCTATAGAAATGCAAGGCTTTTTTATTCTCTCTTTATTCTATTCCCACCATACACTTAGTTTAATGTTGTACAAAATTGCTAAAATTAGTTAACTACAACTAGCCTAGCACTTTTCCCTTATAATAAATTCCAGTCACTATTTCTCACCTTTAGAATGGAAAGAGATCAGACAGTCACACACTGGCCAGTTCTCCACAGGCTCATTCAGAATGACATCTTCGTTAAATATCACCACACTGATATACTCAAATTTACACAGACGTTCTAGGATCTGTGTCATTGGCTTTGATTTTGACTTCTTCGCCATTGCACAAATCCCCACCAGGATTTGGCGTTCAGGAGGCTAGATGAGGGAGAGGGAAAAATCACTAGGTTAAGAATTATAGACTTAAACAGAATCTTTTAAAATTCAGCCAAACAACTGTGACCAGATTATATGATCATTTTCACAATGCTTTTGGTGGGAGCTTACGTATGCTATTTGGTTGCTGGCTTTTTTTCCCTGAAGTCACAGTGACAACATGTCAAAAATTACTTAATGGAACCAATTACATTGATTTTCTTATATCTGGTTCCACCAATGCTAAAGTCATCAAAACTAGTCAAAATATTACTGTTGAGATGCATTAAATTTTTACTTGAAAACTTTGGTCCAACCACAACAATGTATTCAGATACTGCTCATATGTCCATAAAAAGATACTACACAATAAGCTTTCTCAGAAGGAAAAATCAGTGGTACTTGAAAATGAAAACACTGGTTGCACGGGATCTCCATTTTCAAATTTAAGGACTAGTATGTGTCATTCACCAGTTTCGCTGATTTTTTCCTGCTGGGTTTGTGTGTTCTTCCTTAGTGCAGTTTGATCACATGCTTCCATTGAAATCAGAAGGTCTTGGATTCAACCCTGACTTCAGGTAAGCACGGAGTTATAAGAGTCCATACAATGGACGAGACATTAAATTTAAGCCCGGTTTCTTGCTCATTTGGACATCATAGACCTTTTAGAACTATACGAAGAAATGCAAACCAATTTCCCAAGTCTTGATTAACAATATTCTTTAGTCATTCACTTGTTTGCAAAGTGCAAACCAGTTGTCACACCAATCTGTATCAGTGCTTCCAAACTTTCCACCCCACGCTGAACCCACTTCAAGGCTTGAAAATTCTCAAGATCTGAGCGAGTAGGGAAAGGGGATTTATGGGAGGAAAGACATCAAGAATAGTATGGGACATGATAGAGAAGGAGAGGCCAAGGAAGGACCGGTTCAGAGTTCTACTGACACACTGCTGTTCACAACACCCAAAATTTCTGTTCCTGAACCCCAATTTAGGAAGCCCCGGTCTACTCAGCAGTATCTGACTAAAAAAACTGGAAAGGTTGTAAAATGGTTGAAAATCGTTCAGAAAGGTACCAAGAAACTCTGTGAATGCAGATTAGAGAGCCAAACCATGGCACTGGCTGGTTTCGTTTTGCAAACTTAATACTTTTCTCAAGCTTGAAAGAAAAGAATGGAAACTTGAAACCTTGCAATTGCCACAATTAATCAGTTAAATTACACCTTTATAACAAGTACTATTAACCTGGCTGGTCTGGAGCAAAAAATGGATTAAAAATTAAAACCAAAAGAACTGCAGATGCTGTAAATCGGGAACAAAAACAGAAGTTGCTGGAAGAGCTCAGCAGGTCTGGCAGCACCTGTGAAGAAAAAACAGAGTTAACGTTTTGGGTCTGGTGACCCTTCTTCAGAACTGATGGTGGCTGGGAAAACATCAGTTTATATGCAGTAAAAAGGGCAGGGGGATGGGGTAGGGAGTAAACAATAGGATAGAGCCTAAAGAGAGAGAAGAGCAGTTGGACAGACAAAGAGTTGATAACGATGACTGGGAGGGTGAATAGTTGTTAATGGGGACTATTAATGACTTATATCAGGTAGTGTGTAATGGCAGGCTATGTGATAACAAGGCCTGGTGTGTGGGGCAGGGGGCTGGGTCATGGGAGAGTTTAGGCCTTAAAATTATTGAACTTGATGTTGAGTTCAGAGGGCTGTAGGGTCCCCAGCTGAAAATGAGGTGTTGTTCTTCTAGCTTGCGTTGAGCTTCCCTGGAACACTGCAGCAAGCCAGAGACAGACATGTTGGTCAAGGAACAGGGTGGTGCATTAAAAAAGTGGCAGGCAACAGGTAGTTCAGGGTCTTTTTTGTGAGCAGAACGTAAATGTTCTGCAAAGCAGTCACCTAGTCTACGCTTCATTTCTTCAACATAGGGGAGACCACATTGTGAGCAGCGAATGCAATAGACTAGATTCTGGGAAGTGCAGGTGAAGTGTTGTTTCATTTGGAAGGTATGTTTGGGTCCTTGGGTACTGGGGAGGGAGGAGGTAAATGGGCAGGTGTTGCACCTTTGCTGGTTAGAGGGGAAGGTGCTGTAGGGCTGTGGGGGGTGAACAAAGTGTGGACCAGGGTGTCCTGGAGGGAACAGCCCCTGCGGAAGGGACTATGTGTCTGGTGGTGGCATCCTACTGGAGGTGGCAGAAATGGCGCCCGATGATCTTCTGGATGTGAATGCTGGTGGGATGATTGGCAAGGACAAGAGGAACCCTATTGCTGTTGCGGGTGGGAAGAGAAGGGGTGAGGGCGGAAGTGTGGGAGATGGCTTGGACCCGGTTAAGGGCCCTGTTGTCCATGGAGCTGAGGAATCCTCAGTTGAGGAAGAAGGTGGACATTTCGGAGGCTCCCTTGTCGAAGTTGGCCTCATCTGAACATGTACGGAGGGGACGGAGGAACAGAGAATGGGATGGAATCTTTACAGGAAGCGGGGTGTGAGGATGTATAGTCCAGGTAGTTGCGGATATTAGTGGCCAGTCTATCCCCAGAAATGGAAACAGAAATGTGGAGGAAGGGAAGGGAGAAGTCAGAGACAGGCCAGGGTGGAAATTGGAGGAAAAATTGATGAAGTTTTCCAATTCCGGACAAGAGAGGGAAGCAGCACCGATGATATCAACGTATCGGAGAAACAGTTGTGGGTGGGGGCCAGAATAGGACTGGAATAAGGAATGTTCCACGTACCCCACAAAGAGACAGGCATAACTAGGGCCCATGCGGGTACCCACGGCCACCCTTCTTACCTGAAGAAAATGAGAGGAGTTAAAAGAGAAGTTGTTGAGGGTGAGGACGATCTCAGCCAAGCGGAGGAAGGTGGTGGTGGTGGTGGGTGGGGACAGTTCAGATTTTTGCTCTGGGAAGAAGCAGAGAGCCCTAAGACTCTCCTGATGGGAAATAGATGTGTAAAGGGAAAGGTCCACGGTAAAGAGGCGGCGGCTGGAACCGGCAAACTGGAAGTAAGGCATCAGAGGAATCACGGATGTACGTGGGCAGGGATTAACAATTCATTGCTCAGAGTTTGATATATGACAGCAAGGAAAGTACAGTAGTGCATAGAGACATTATATTGGGAGGGTTAATTGATATTTTAAATATAGTATGACTGCTTAAAATCAGCAAGAACCAGGATCAAGATTGGAAGGAAGTGCTGCCATTTGAAGTCTCACAAGATGTAAAGTGTAGAGTGAAGCAATTGTTGATCAGAACACTAATAACTTTTTTCAGGCCTGTGGTATTTAAGTAGCAACTCTCCCTGCTGATCTCACTTGATTGCCATCAATCACCAGGCCACAGGTTACCACATAGGGCCAGGTTTATAAGCTAACCATCATCTTCAAGGAATAAAACACAATTTGTAGCTCTTTCCAAGCTACCATGAACGTACAGATCTACTCAGATACCACTGTGCTTCTGTGTGAAGACAAGCTCTCCAAATTCCCTAAAGATCGACAGCAGAAGACCACATCTACTGGACAAACTTATATTGCTGGTACTTACTGGAACAAGCGAAGACACCAGTTCACAAGGTCAGAAAGCAACAAAAATGAGGGACGGAAGGGAAAAATGAGGAAAAAACACAAGGAGTTAACATAACACAAAGGAGCATAACTGGAGAAAAGCTTTTCCTAAAATTGTTGACTGCAGAAACGAAAAAGAAATGGTAAAAGTAAAACTGAACTGAACTGAAAATTAATGTATAATGTCAAAAGAGAAGAAAATTTTTATAGGAAGAATAAAAAAAAGTGGAGATTCCTCCCTACAATTATTTCAGCAATGCACTCAAGTCCATTTTTTTTAATTCACACTGACATTAAAATGAGAAATTATTGTCTTAAAAAGCAAAAACTTCAAAGGTACAGCAGCATATGAGGAGAAATTAGCGAGCGAAGAAGCGAGATAGACATGGATCAAAAATATTTTTTCATCCCTCTCCGCCTGGCCTAGAGATGATAAATGCTCCAATGTTAGCATTTCTTTTTATTTCTACAAAGATACCACTTGCCCACTAGCAAATTTGAGACCAGAAACTGAGTGCTTCTGAAAGAGATTTGCACAGTAAATAAAATCTTCTTCCACTTCACTATCAGAATGATTTTGTTTTTGACTGAGCAAAAAGAAAGTAATCATAAGCAAATCAACTCAAGTTGGCTATATTAATAAATATTCCGAATAGTTACCTCCCACAGGTATTCAGTAGCAAAGACTAAAAAAAACTACTCCAACCCATAAAAGGAAATGTCACGATAAAGATCGGAACTTTGTTTTATATATATCTAAGAATCTCAGATGTGATGGACTTGTTAACCATTCCTACCACTCTGTGCAAAAGATATCATCTGATCACAGGATTTAATTGTTATAAGTTCATCTTATTCGCATAAGAGATGTGTGAGAATATCAGAACCAGGGAATCAAAAGAGACAGGTCACTGGACATTGTGGAGGCACCAGCCCTGGAAACAGCTATTGAACATATGAATGAGGAGCAGAAATATGGGATCATCTAGGTCCATCAGGCCTGCTCCGCCAATCAATAATATCATGGGTGATTTAACTGGGGCCTCAACTTCACGTTCTCGTTTTCCCCAATAACTCCTTTGATCGCCTATTAGTCCCACTATTAATGAAATAAAGTGACAAAGCAAAAACATAGAATTTTGTATTTCTATATAAAATAAAATCATTGTCAGGTTGGAACTGTTGGCACAGGTACCCCACTGTATCAGGCATGGAAATCCTACCTAACCAGTCTCAGATTTGTTTGAGAAAGTTAGAACCCAATTGGCAAATCCTGTGTGTTTAAACTTTCAAAAGATATGTCAAAGTTTCAAAAAGAAAAAAAGAAAGAAATTTAGGAGGGGGAAAACAAAAATCGCTATTTAATCTCAGATTTACTCAGGCAAACCTGGGACCTGGATACTGAACTGGCTGAAGACTCTGGTTGCAGGTAAAACACCCG